ATATATATGTATATATATATATATGTATATATATATATATGTATATATATATATATGTATATATGTATATGTATATATATATGTATAATATATATATATATATATATATATCTCCTTGTAAGATTCAAAAATAATGTATTTATGCGTATACTTTTTTGTTAGAGGACTGTATATACATATCCTTCATAGTTGTAAATATCATATTTACCCCTCTAAATTTTAATATTACATATATATATATAGTCATAATTATTACTATATTTAAAAATTATAATTTTAAAAATAATAAACATCCATTATTTCATCAATTATTGATATCTCGCATTCTCAGTATCTTTGAAAGTGCATTAATATTGATTTGAGGAGATTTGGATATGTAAGCTAAATTAAATTTGAAGGACCAAATACAAGAGTCACTGACTTTGAAAGGATATATGTAATATGAATAGATAAACATGGAAATTTGCCTCTTGAAAATATCAAAATACTTTTCACAAGGATTTATATTTTTTTCAATGATGGACTTACACATGCATTATCCATATGCCTCAGTATCAATCTATATCTTACCGCAGGCTGCTGAAAGCTAAGACTTATATTTACCCGAGTAATCATTTAGAACTCAAATCAAATCTCAACAGATTAATACTCACAGTTTTGCAACATTGTTCCGGATATATCTAAATCCCAGTTAGGTGGCACAGAATATGAAACCAAAGCCAGAGAAAAAAAGTCTAAATAGCAATGTCAGGAGTTTCAGCAATAATCATACACGCCCAGATAGATGCTGAAAGAAACAATGATTGTTACCATCATATGTACATAAATATTTACAATCATAAGTTCAGGTGAATACACTTGCAACTTATATGGATGTAGCATATTTACATTCTAGTTTTGCATTAGTTTTAAGATTTTTAGAGGATACTTTGCATCCAGTGCAAGTCTTCCCACCTCTGAATTGAACTAAATCAGAGCATAAGAGTAAACATCACCCATATGTACAATTTCATCGGAGTCTCCATTGCTTGGCAGACCAGTAGGGATGGACAATTGTCATCTTTACAGAGGCAGATCATTTACAAATGCTCGACCCTGAACTACTCAGGTCGAACACTAATCAGATTTGGAAGAGCAGCCAGTTGCAGCTTCTTTATTTCGGTGGCCGTAACTTTGCATGACTCCAGGGTGAGTGATCTCAGATTCTTTAATGGTTTCAGATGCTGCAAACCAGCATTTGTTATGCGAGAGTTTGATACATTAAGGGAAGCCAATGCAGTTAATCCTGCGATTGAATAAATTGTGTCAACAGGAACAGGTTTAAAGCTAAACACTCAGACAATAGGGGAAGAAATCAATATTGGTAATAGTACGATGAAATACCTGAAATCAATTCCAGAGTCTTATCTGTAAGGTTGCAATTCTGAGATAAATTTAATAACGTAAGAGATTTAAGGTCCTTAATGTTCTTCACTCCAGCATCAGTTATTGACCCACCACAGACCTCAAGTGACTGCAGGTTTTTGAAATCTGATTCGATTGCAAGAAAAAAATCATCATCCATGGACAATTAGGAAGTCAAATGAAACTTTTCGGTGGGTATATTTTATCGTATACCCAAAAAATCAGATGAATGGAGTTGGATCATGCAGAAATGAGCATTCTACAAGTATATCAAAAACTGAGAACTAGGCATTCTAATTGAAAGAGCATAAACAACACAACAGGAAACAAAGAAATTTAATGCAACTTGCACAGTGCACTCATGCTTAGTGAAGCTCAATGCGTGCAGGTGCAACTTAAGCATCTCTCCACGCATCACCTGACCTTTCTTTTTGGGTCAAAATATAGATGATTGCTTAACTTCCATACCGATGATTATCTGCCGATCCTAGGCCCCTTCTTTCATGCTAAGCATGAACACAACAGCCAATAAGACTCTCTCAAGAGTTCGTTGCCTTTTGAGGTAAATAGACCCTACACCTCATAGGCTCATAAGTAATTTTCTTTTCGTTATCCTACATGATATATTTTATAAGATTGTTTCAAAGTATAAGATAGTTCTCTTGTTTCTTGTTAGCTGGAGACAATATTCTGTGCACATGATACATAGCCAGAATTACTATTGCCAAATCATTACTTTCCTCGTCCTATTAAAATTTTCTATTCACTTTCACTTTATCAAAATAAAAGATTTTCTTTACTTACCAAAACTTAATTGCTTTGAATTATGTTACTTTAGAAGGTAGGAAAGATAGATCCATAATGATCCAGAACAAATATATTGTAACTGGGAAGAACACCCTGAAAAGGCATATTCATAAGTTATATCACCTACATCGGAAACAGTTTGTCCCAAGGTCTGTAATACGAGCTCCAAAAAGATCCAGATGTGTCAATCCGGTAAGACCTGCATGATATAAAAGAAACTTTCAAGCAATTGACAGCATTTGTTCCAAAGTTTATATACTCAGAGAGTATATAAATTAAAAAAGCACCCAAAAGCCTTCACATTTAACTAAGAATAATCATAAGTTAGAATAGAGTTGCAAGAAACAAGAAGGCAAAAATTAGAAAGAAACTTCAATGCCAACTATCTGATGTTCCATAATCCTAGGGAAGACTAATTGAAACTAACTGATGTTGCATATGGATCTTTCTTTAGTATATCTTTCCATCGTCATGGGACATGTCCTTTTTTGTTGCTTCAGAACAAAGTCTTTGCTCATCCTTGCCCACTTAAGGCACCTCCAACATAAGTCAGCTACAAATATTTCCTTTTCTATCCATTCTAGTCATTGATATTTCCCACCCACTTGAGTTGTCATAACTAAAATATAAATAGGCTAAACCATCCTTTCAGATGCACTCAAACTCTGGACATGCTAGAAAAACCTTTAGAAGTTTTCTCATACTTGGTACACCCTCAAGAATAGCAGGTGAAGAAATTCCATGCTACCTTCTGAATAGCATATCATAGGATACAAGCTTAACAACACCTACAACTTAACTAGAGCATGAATGATCAACAAGCATTATCATTTGTCCACTGCTAGAATTAGTGTAAATCTTAAAATTCATGGAATAAAGAAGCACCTGAGACTCTACAAACAGTTTTTCAACATACATCCATGAAAACTTTCAGATAGAAGGTAATAAATACAAGCTAAGCAACAGCTAGTAGAGCGTTATGAATGTTCTAACAGGCATTATCTTATCTTCACAACTACAACTAGTGTAAATCTTGAAATCAAGCAGAATAGAGAATCACCCAGAACTCTGGAACCAGCAACAGGAAAAAAAGAAAGAGAGAGGACAAGCGGATTTTTCAAATACAAGTGAAAATTTTCATGTAGTGTGTCAACTGTAATTAAAATCGAAGCCTCCTGAATAATTCCTAAAAAGTCATCTTATGTAGATTTCCAAGTCATCACTACATGGGTGCCTCACTAAGAAGAAACCTCAAATGCAAATATTTACGACTGTTGTATGCCGAGAAAAAAGAGAGAAGTTTACCCTTTTAACAGAAGGCAAAACTTTCTATATCTAACATGAGAAGACGAAATAAATTATACAAGCTATACAAAAGTTTCAAAACTGGAATGCGGATAACAAATTCCATGATCATGAATATTTGCATCCACATATTGTGACAAAATGCTAGCCTGAAAACAAGTCTTACTGGTGATAGCCGTTAAGCCTGCATCTGTTATCTGGCGAGCATCCAAATTTAGTGACTTAATGGAAGTTAATCCAGACAGCTTCCTCAAGCCACCATCAGTTACTGATGTGAACGAGAGATTGATACTCTCCAAGTTGCATAAACCTGACAATGATATATATCACAATCAAGTTTCTCATGTCATAGTAATCTAGTAATAATCTAATTGCGCTTGTACTATATAAATAATGTTCTGAGAATTCACATTCAAAACCTGAAGTGTTTATATGCATTGCACATCTTTTACAGAAAAAAGACAAATTGTATACCGAGTTGCAGACCATCATATTTTCCTTGTAAAAAAATAATGAAAATTATACTTAAGAAGAGGACCACATGCCATGTAAAACCTCAAAAGCAAGTTTCATGTTCCAAGTGTCATGAGCTGAAAAATATTATGAAAAGCATCAAATTGTTAATGAGAGAAATAACACTAAATGGATGAGACTACAAGTCTACAAAGGCTTCTTGGTCATCAAAGGAAGTTCACAACTTATAGATAGCTCCAGCCCAGTGAGAATGCTCTTATATAAGCAAAATCTGTAGTAATTTTTGCCTGGGAAACTAGATGATTGTGTTAGTACTTTGCAACTACTGTCTTATGTTAAGCATCATATTGTACAAAGAAAATTAACATATATTTCACTTATTAGAAACATCTATCATTCTAAGTTCCAAGGACCATGACAAGCAGTTGCATGGTTAATTTTGTTCCACTAATAATTACACCCAGAAAGCCAGTAGGTTCAGGTGCAAGTGAACAAAAAAAACATAGGGGTAAAAGTTTAGAACATTTCAAAGTAATTTGATTACTCAGTATTTAAAAAAAAACCCACATCTACTTGTCACCTAGGTTAACTGAATGAATAAAGTTCATGGATAGAGTCGAGATTGTTCATGGATAGTGTCAAGATTGCACCTACTCCATAGGTTAAGTTCCAAGTTACATGGTTAATTTTGTTCCACTGATAATTACACCCAGAAAGCCAGTAGGCTCAGGTGCAAGTGAACAAAAAAAAACATAGGGGTAAAAGTTTAGAACATTTCAAGGTAATTTGATTACTTAGTATTTAAAAAAAAAACCCACATCTACTTGTCACCTAGGTTAACTGAATAAATAAAGTTCATGGATAGAGTCAAGATTGTTCATGGATAGCGTCAAGATTGCACCTAGTCCATAGGTTAAGGGGTCATGTATTGAGTAAGAAATAGCTTTAAAAAAGGGACAATCATCACAGTGATGTTTTGCGTCTCATGAACTTGAGTAGACAACAATATGCACATATAAACATTCAACTGCCTACAAACCTTGACCATCAGAAAAGCCATGTTGATTTTGATCAAAAGAATCCAGTAACTATCAGTTTCAAGAGTACATGCATGAAAGGTGATAATATCTCTAGGTTGACTAGGCCCATGCAATTTTTTTATATAATGTGATTTATGCTTCTTTTGACATGTTAGACATCAGTAAGATGGAAGAAAAATACAAATGGCAGAGAATTTGAACCACCGTTAAAGATTTTCATAATTTTTTTAATTTAGCTTGCATCTTTGACTGTTCAACTTGTCTTATATGTGACAAAAGAAATACAATTTCTTCACTGACATAAACCATCTAAAAAGAAGAAACAGAGAACTGCATTTTCTCCATAATGTGAAGTTGGTAATAGCTCGATCACTATGGTTCTCATAGCTCTTGTCAGTCTCCAATCAGGGATTTAACTGACAGCAAAACAGGTTGCCACCTGCTTGTCGTATGCTATTATAAGATGTTTAATAATTTAATCGTGAAAAAATGTGCCATGTTTATGCATGTTCAGATGTACTTCTTGTTGATTTTGACATTAATTCTTGTAGTTTATGTACTGTTTCTCTGATTCGTTTATGACTTTGCAAAGAAAATGAATCAATTTGCAATCATTTTTTAGGCCCACTATGCAAAAATCAATAGAAGCAGCATCAGGAGTGAGTAAAACAGCAAGGTAAATCTGAAGAGACACATGCCACTCAGGAAAACCTTCAAACCTCAAGGAGGGTAAGGAACAGTTTTAGGCATTCTCAGAAGTCTGTTTACACCTGTTGGTTGCATATGACAAATTGTTAATGATCAACTATACATCAATTTGAGCCATTCCACCTATATGTGGCATGTTTGACCTAGTCACATAACCGAGAAAAATACAAGCTCTACTATTTCTGGTAAAATTCTTTTTGGTGATCAGGACATCTAAATGATCATAGATGAAGGTTTTTCAGAATTTTCAACAAAAAACATATTTTTAATTTGTGGAATCTTAGAGGGAACAGACCTCTAAACATCATAAACAAACTGAGAGCTACGAGTGATTATTTATCTGTTTAAAGAAAACAGAATCAGTACTAAGAGTAATTAAGATTAAACATCTATGCTTAAATTGCTACAGGAAAAAGCAAAAAAAAAAAAAGATGCAAGACCAATTTATCAATTAACTAGTATTAACATCTGCCAAGATGTATATGAACTGTGAATCAAACTATGATCATCTGCAAGGATTAAAATATCGTACCGTACTGAAGTTTCAACATTCACTCGGTATGGTACGATACTGTATACCGAGTGGTATACCGTTCGGTATATATATATATATATATATATATATATATATATATATATTCCGTCCGGTAATGGGCGGTCCGTGTACTGGTAAGCTGACGGACCGGTACATACCGCCCGGTATGGGTGGTATTATTCGAAACTGCATAGCTTGATCATCTAAATCATAAATCATAAAATATAGCTGATCCAAATATTGTTTATCCATCAAGCAGTCAGCTATAATTAATCCACACTATCCAAGATACCACAAGCAAGTTCCTTCACCTAAATGATTATTGGACAAAACTTGCAATAAGTTTAAAATGTGCTGAAGGTTGTTGCAGTCAATATCACACTGAAAAACATATCCAAAAAATAAAACTAAACCTGTGCGATTAATGATGCATACTCAACACATATGATATGTGAACTTACAAAGAAACACAATTAAATTTTACCTAAACAAAAATAAATTAACAAAACATTCATGAAACAGAAAGCTATTATGCTACTGCCACCATGCAACATAAGAATAAGAAAACCAGATATGGACACCTACTAATAGTAAAAAAAAATTAACAGTAAGTAGTTCAATTGCATATCATGCACAAGTTGCTAAGCATACCAGAGAGATGGCTCAGTCCATTGCTTCCAACTTCAGTATCGGACAGCTCCAGGCATTTTAAACGTAGAAGACCTTTAAAAAAATATCAAGTGAACCAATAAGGAAAGTTGCAATCAACAATAATTTCAATAATAAACTAAGGTTTTCCAAGAATCTTAGGGGTTAATTTTTTGGCTATGGTTGACAAAATAAGGTTATAGCACTTGCTTGCCTTTTACCCTCTGAAAACCTGCAGATCATGCTTTGGTGCCACTTAGGGAAACCAAATTGTAGACTTGCTACCTAGTAGAAAACACTAGTGTCTTATGCATCTTTATTGTTGATTGACCTATATTTTGCATATCACTAGCTCACAATGTTCTATGACCAGTCAAGTTTAGCTAAACAAAAAAAAGGTATAATTCAATCAAATGAATTCTCGGATGCCAGAAGTACATTGAAACACCACAACAAAGTTATAAGGGCTTGTCCAAATGTTCTCATATAGGAGAAAAGTCCAGAAATCAGAGTTTCATGACACCATTTCTTGTTGGTAATATATGCATGTAACAACTTGAATTAATCGAAAATCATGACACTTACCTTTCAAGTTTAACATTCCTTCATCACCAATCTTACAAGAATCCAAATTCAAGCTCTCCAAATTGATCAAATCTACAATGAATCAAATATTAAGAGAAGTTCAATAAAAAGCAGATCATTCTGACTTTGTCCACAGTAATGATATTCAGAAAGCACAATGACCACTATATATTGAAGTGTTAGCAAAATTAATGCCCAAATTGACAAAGCACCAAGCTATTACCAAATTAAATAAAAAAATAACTATTTTGAAAGCACTACAAAGCCATTAGAAAGTTATAAGAAGATTTGTATCATTGTCTTAAACAAAAGCATGACTAGTTAGAATGTCAATCCAACATCAAAAAGATAATAGTACAGGGAAGCTGAAAGCTACAGGTTGGGCATCAAAGATGTACTGAAGATTGCCAAGTTATTGACTTTGTCAACTAGAGAAGTTTTGGAAAGAACATTTTAAAACTCAGCAGCACTTGCAAACTTGAAACTGATTTACCTTTAAGATGCACCAAACATGCATCACTGATGTTATTGAAACCCAAATTCAGAACTTTCAACTTCTGAAGCCCTGTGATACAATGATTGTTTAAGAGTTGTAAAAAATTTAAGCATATAACAACCAGTACAGGAACTTTCAAAATAACAAGAACCATTATCATGTAAAACAAAACTAATGAAGAACTAAAAGCTCTACAATTTTTTTAGAAAGCCAAAAGGTAACAATGTAGCTGAAAAAGCATTGCCCATTACATAAGCACCAAAAGATCACAACTTAATACCATGGTATCTAGTGAAAGAAAAATTCATTTATGAGATCAAGCATGACCTAAATGGCAAAGATCATCATGCATTGCTGAATGGTTCTAGACCACATATTATGTATCAAGTTTTTTGCCATTGGAATTACTTCCTTTTGAAAAACCACATCATGTCAAAATACAAGGTCCCTTGTGAATAAAAGCATCATTCCTGAGTAACACTAGTCTGCATGTAGGGTCTCGCAGATAAAGGTTTTCTGCACCATGGGATGCCAAGTGCACCACTTAACATTGACTGGTTCATAGCTAGTTAAGGCTTTGTGGCAGCCACTATTTGAAAAAAAAGAAACAGAACAGTTAGCAGAGGATATAAATATCTTTCTTTTTTTTAACTTCTTTCAACCAGATGGTAGCCTTGTGCTGATATGCCAAAATCTCAACTAGCAAGCTGGAGACCAGAACAGACCAAGATTGGCAATTGCCATTGCAGACTACAGACGTTAAAATGACACATGAATAACCAGACACTAACTTAATGGAGAATAAGAAATTTTTTGTATAGAAATGAGTTCCATTTTCTTCCAGAAAATTAAGAGAAACACTACGCCTTAGACATGCATCAATGCAATCTAATCACACATCAAACTATATGCCAAGATGTACTGGATTCATTGCAGCTTGTTGATATCAGAAGTAGCATGAAGCAGCAAAACATTTGAAGGAACAATCCACACAGCTAGAAATGCAAATGGTAAGACACAATGTCTTTGGCTTCCCTTCTCGCATGGTAGCAACAACCAAAAATATCTGTACCTACATCATATATGTGATTGCTGAAAAGTTTTAAGGAAACGTACTTCTCCATATTTCACATGTTTACAGAGAACATCTTAAGTTTCCAGAGGTTGTGATTAACTCACCAGAAAAACTCTCACTTCCATCATCAGATATACCACATCGGCTCAAATTTAAAAAAATCAAGGATCCAAAGCCTGTAAAGGATCCAGAAAGAACCATATTTATCACACACCATTTATTTGAACACAAACAAATCAAACTAGCATACAAATAGACTAATTCAATCACACAGATAAGTCACTCTAAAATATTAAAGAAAAAGATATACATGATATGAATGAATACTTACTCTGAAATCATGCAGTTAAAGAACCAGATATGGACAATTTACAAGTCAAACAGGCCATACAGTGTTCATAAGCTACATAGCAATTACAATCTTGAAAGAACATGTTAAGAAGTAACACTTACATGTAGAGTATATCAGTATAGTTTTTTTTATTTGCATAGCAAAGATGAACTAGTTAAAGAAAGAAATCATTGCACTATGGAACAAGAATAATTGTTCAACAATAATTAAAAGAAGCAGAAATGAAATAACCCCCAGGTTTACAGGACTACAGGAAAGGAACCCACTAAAAATTGCATAACTTACATGTTTAACCGGACAAAGAGACCAATGAATATAGCAATTAACTTATAAGTTTAGCAATTACTGGCACCACCAGGAAAGAAGGGAAAAGAAGAAAACCTGATATAATGTCCAAGCAGGCAGCAGTAACTGGACAACCCTCCAGGTTCAAGTGAGCAATTTTATATAAACCTGCAAAGAATTTAATTGGAGAAAGGAAATGTACCCTAAAATGGAAAAGTGAAACAGAAGTCTTGCTGATGAAGGATGCCAGAAGCTAATAGCAAATGTGAAATTGAAAACATATGAATAATAAACTGCAAGTCTAGAAATCAAGACAGCCCATTGCATCTTACCTTTTAGATGAGCAATCCCTGCATCGGTAACTTTACAACATGACATTTGCAACTCTTTTAAGTTTGAAAGACCTAGAACAAGAATAGAGATGTAAATATTCTGATCAAATTTTCTTGATGAGACTTACTTGACAAACAATATGACAGCAAGATCATCAATGTGCATAGCACCTCTTCTTTGTGAAACAAGGGACTGCTAATTAGGAGTATGTCACCAGAAGCAAAGGAAAAGAAACATATAATGCAAAAAAAAGGTGAGGTTAGCAATGTGCATTGGTTTTATATTTGCATGCAATAGCATGGAATAGTTATTTATAATGTTCAAACTTCAAACAACTCAGATTCCTTTATTTGTCAGGGGGAAAAAAAGATATGCCAAACTAGAGGAATACCCACAGAGGTTATTAAATAATACAAAATTTTCAGATTTTTCAATGGACACTTCGGCATAATCATCAGTTCATCACCATCATCATCCAAAGCCCATTTGTCCAGGATAAGAAAACAAAATGTATTTGTCTATCTGTGTAGTATGTGCATATAATTTCCACTCATACAAGGAACAACGGTAGCTGCATGTACATCCCATCCTCCTTGTATTGTAGATCATCATTGAAATGCCTTAACACACCAGACTTTTCTTTTTGGCCAAGCACTAAACTGAGAATGCAAAAAAATTTTGACAGAGTCTAAACAAATAAAACCCACCAGAAAGAGGCTCCATGTCTTCATCTGTTATACAATTGCAGTATCTGATGTTAAGGGATTCAAGCTTTTTCAAGTCTGCAGAAAGTTCACATATGATTGTTTAAAGCACAGAATATGAGAAACAATAAGGCCATAAACAGCAAACAATCGACAATAGAACTTATGGAATTAATACATAATGCATAAAAGGAACTATAGAAACAACAAACTAGTAAAATCTAGGAAAAATTGTCACCACCATCCAATATTATAGGAACTAATTTGGTCATTAGACACAAGCTAACAAATGTATGAAAAGTAATAATATATGATAAACTGGTCAAATTCACATTTATGATTGATTTTGTTCACATATTTCCATGATTTGTTTCCCTTTCATTCCTATCTTCATCTTTGTTTGTAAGTATATTACCCTCCAGAAAAAGAAATAAATTGTAAACTACTATATTATGTCACAATTCGTTTGGAGGAGGAAGCCTGGTGCATGAGATTATTAATCCTTGCAAACTCTAAACAGGTGTAAAAATGATCGACTCATGTGAGTTTTGACATGATTCATTATGAAAGAGAAGCAAAGCTCAAAAAACCAAAATTGCTATCTTTTTAGAGCTGTGCCAACATGACAATCAAAGGCCAATAGTTTGGTAGAAGCATACCTTTTAAATATTTAAGACCACCATGAATCTTTAAGCATTTCTCTAGATCCAAATTTACCAAGTTAATCAAGTTGGTAAAAACCCTCATTCCTTCAGCAGTAATTGCATTGCTCTTCTTTAAACTTAAAGAGGTCAAGTTTGAAAGTCCTGAAGGGAGAAACAAAGTTTGCGATGAAAAGTGCAATAAAACGGTAAAAATTATTGGGCTAATTTATCATGCAATAAAAGAAAGTAGACACAAGAAAAGTTTGACCAGTTTCATTAAACAATAAACATTACAGCAAGAGTGTAAATGTTCTTGTTCCAAATTATTTACACCAAGAGTAAGGGAAAAAAAAGCAAAAGTGGAATTCACAGATCTTCAGGGAATCAGGAATATGAATTGAGTAACATACAGACAATATTATGTCGTACTTTAAAATCTACTACAACAGATTTAAAAAAATTAGTGACTCTAGATATCTAAGAAAATATAGAGGACCTCAGGACCTTTTGTAGCAAAAGGATAATATTAAAGTGTAACATTTTTTACATTAAATAAAGACTGAAAAGCACATGATAGGCAAAATCATCAAGCTTGGGAAAAAAATTTGAAGCCAAAGCATTGAGAACCTAGAAAGTAGAAACCATGGAAACGGTCATTAATCTTAGTAAGTACTTCACTTCCTCAGCCGCTAAGAGATAGGTAATGCCATTAGAATGTCAGCATACAAAGTCAGATATCGGTGCAAGCTTTGTTTCCCCCGGAACAAAAAGATAAACTTGAAGAAACAAAATTAATGATAGAGCACAAGCCTTGTTTCCGTTACTGAATTGTGTTAATTCTTGTTAATAATAGTTAATTCTGGTAAATAATAGTTTACAAATTATGTTAATTACTGTTTTTGTCACTGCTAGAATTTTGCATTGTTAATTTTGAATTGTCAATTTTTGCTATAATTTTGAATTGTGTTAATTTTGATGTTAGTCTTCTTTTTTTTTATGTTTCTTGTCATATTTGGATAATTTAGTACTTTAATGCTTTGTAGATGGTGATATTTTGGTCAAATGAATGCAATTCAATATTCTAGTGGTGATATTTTGGATATGAAATGATATGAAATTCATGTATTGTTTAATTTAATTTTATTGAATTTTCTCCTTAATTATATGTTTATAAATTTTATATTGGCATTTTGGTACCTAGACATCTTTTAGCACTTAGCATCTTTGACAACACTGCCCTGAAACTTGGGAACACTCCACTTTGGTGCAGTCATTAGGAAAAGAGTCCTAAAAGAAAGACCAATTGAAGGGATGGATCTTCAAACAGGCAACTATCGAATCAAATGAGATTGGGCATGTTTCCCATCTCTTCTCAAGAAACATGCGGAGTATTTCTTTGCAAAATTATGCTCAATTTCATATGTGGCAATTCCTTCAAGATCTCTTTGTTAGTTGAGGGAGATATCAGCACGAATCCGTGAAACTAAAACTTTTAAGCACCAAATCATCAAATAAGGACAAGAGACGCATGCTAAGTGATACAAGAGCAATTTAGTTTATTTATTATCTGAATAAATTTCATTAGTTTAGGGGTATTTTGCATATGTCATAAGTTAGTCACATGATAATATCTACTCGAGATGAAGAAAAAGGAAACAAATGCAGAAACAAGTGGAAGAAATCAAGTTCGTTATTGATTGAAGATTGTAAATCTTGATTGAAGATCATACAGATTCATCTCTACAAAAAAGGGCATCTATCAATCAATAATATTATCAAGAAAAGGGAGATTATCCTTCAAATCAAGTCACCAATATTATTTTCTTCGAAGGAAAAAAACAAATCATATATTTGATTTGATGTGATTGCAATTATCCTTCTTTCCATAATTTCCTTTTTTTTACTTGAGTCTATAGAAAAAGAGCTTGAACATTGTAATGCATCAATCAGAAATTGATCAATGAATTGAGTTCTTTTCCCACCTTATGTATGAGTGGTGCGAGACCACAAGTTACTTTTATAATGGAATGATTCTATCGTTCACGTGCGAGACGTGCGAAGGTGCAAAGCCTTCATCCCGAGCCTAAGAGTTCGCTCCTTGAGCCAAACCGAGTCTGGTAGTTATCCCTTTGTTTTCCTATTGTTTTTCAATTACTATCTTTCTATTCCTCTCTTTATGGTTCCTCTATTATCAAAAGAATTCTGCTTCTCGTCCTACACCACTAATCTTTTGTGCCTAAACAGAGGTTATGTGTAAAACCTTGTCCTCACACCTAGGCAAACTTCTGATAATAGTAGACCTTTTGGTAATTATAATATGGGTTGAACATTGCTTCTTTACTAAAAAATATAGGGAGGTTCTCCTTATACACAGGATCAGGAGATTGTCTTGCTGATGTATGACAAGATGCACAATGGAAGGTTTCTAGAAAAACCAAGAAATGGCATAAAAGGCTGAAGAAAAATTACCAGATATATGTGATAAACCATAGTCTGAGATTTGGTCACAGTAATTACATTTCAAGCACTGGACATTGTGGCAATTCTTAAGAAGAGACAATCCAGAATCTGTCACATCAGAGCAAGAAATATCAAGAGACAGCAGTGATTGCCCTTGAGAGGAAACTGTGCTTAACCAACTGTCCTTCACTCCTGGATATTCTCCAAGATGAATATCCTGATGGCAAAAGCAAAAAATATAAACTATCAACAGCATTAAGTACAAGATCCAATATAACACAAGAAAATCCAAATTCTGTGCATTTACTTAGGGAAAATATCATTCAAATATCACAAGCTAGGAGGAATGTTAAATGAAGTTGTCCAAATAACATAAAGTTTATGACCAGTAAACAAAATATTCTCCATCAGGTACATGGACATGCAGATATTCCTCTAAGTAATCTTGCCAAGCTTAAGTGAGAAACTACACTACACAGAACAACTACTTCCAGAAAGCTTCTCTGTAATTTCCGATACAGGGTAAGTAGGACAACTACCTCCATGGTTAAATTTGAAGCCACAAGTAGTGGTTAATACAATTCACGACAAAAGAAAAGGAAAAGAGCTTTTCCTGCTAAAGAAGGGCAGAGCAATCAGCTCTGCATCCTTATAGCAGTACCATACTAATTATTAGTACATACTGATAAATACACTTGTTTCTAGTTGTTGAAGGACCACACTAGTTTCCAGTATGATTGATAGATACACTTGCTACTACTTGTCGCTCATGGCCACAAATCATTCAGAGTAGCTTATACATTAAAAGATTAAACACCAAACCAGCTATTTGTTGGACCACAGCAATAGAATGCTCACCTGAAGGGCACAATCCTGAAAGGCTGCAAGAGACACATCAGTGAGGCCATGAGATTCGACTAATTCATTGAATATCTGCTGGCTTATGTCTCTTGGCAGCATGGAAAAGCTGCTATACTTTTTTATATCCTGCTTCCACCCAAATATTTTAACATAGGAAATATGAGGTCTCAACCACAACGCAAGACACAAAATACTCGAATCATATGCTTATAGGCATGATGGAAGATACGTACCTCACGAATTTTAGCCACGCATAACTCCATGAGAGAAGGGCACTTTCCTTGCCTTCGAACTGTAACATCTGTGCTGCAACGAGGCAGACTAAATAACAACCATTTTGAGCTGCCAGTCTTAGAGAATCTTCCGGACCTGCGTAAATCATCTTCATCGAGAACGTTTCTCTTTCTAGAACAAGCTCCCCCCATTGGAGAACGGTTAACTTCCAAATAATGATTTTTTTTTCTTTTTTTTCTTCAGCTGTCCTGTTAAAAAGATCAACTTTCCGCCATTTGCACAATCCAGAAGAACGCAAGAAACTTTCTTGTTTGCACTATTCCATTCTAGAGTAAGAATTTAAACCAGCATAAACAGCATATCTTCAATAACCAGGATAAAAGCTACTTCCTCTGAGAAAATAACAAGTGGAATTTCAATGCAAGAAACAATCTATATGACAAAAAACACAGTCAAATGGATTTTCACGGCAAACAAAAATCAACTGTAGGATAAAACCCCATAAGATCATGGAAATGAAAAATTCCAAGATCGCAAAAGTTCTACCGAATAACACGAGAAATCGATGATCGCTTGACGAACTAAGACATCCGAATATCCATCGCCCCTTGTTCTCTAGTGCCATCAGCAAACCAACAACTTCAAGCCCAAAAGAACAGAGAGAAACAACCCAAGAAAAAAAAGTTGCGAAAGCGACGGACAGTACGAAAAACTCCCCAAAAACACACAAAAGTCCCATCGATCGGATGATCGGAAGCCGTATTCTTACCGTAGAGGGAGAGAAAAGGAGGTGGCGCACGATCGAATCTTAGGGTTTAGCATAAAGGAGGAGGACGAGGGGAGAGAAGAGACGGAGGACGGGCGAAAGAAGCCTGAAGCGGCACGAAAGGAGGGTGGGAGGAGAAATAAGAGCCCCAAGGAGCGAGAAAGGGCGGGGGAGAGTGGGATGACGGCGGGGCCCACAGTACGAGCCAACAGATGAGGACCGCGTGTCGGTCTCGGCTGCCCGAGCTCGGCGCTTCAGAGGAGCAGGATAAGCCGCGGCGGTCGGACCGATCAGCTATGCCGACGCAACACGAAATACCACGAAACACAACGTGGCGACATCTTAGTGGAGTCTCTACTGTGCCGGGGACCCACTTTCTACTTCCTGTTTTGTAGATATCCGACAACCCCAACCCGACGAGAAAGGTTTTCGGCACAAAATTATTTCTCTCATTTTTCGTTATTTTCTTTACTTAAAACGACTGCTTATATAAGTATTTTCCAACGCGGGTAGAATAACGAATTCGTTCCTGTGTGGTTCATGTGGGGTTCTGTGTTTGGATCGGCACAGCGGATCCACAATGGAAACGGGTTAAGCGGGTCCACGTGTCGACGTTCCTTATCCGACACGCACCCTCACACCGAAACTGCCGTTTTGGGACCCACCCGAATAAACCCAGAATAAAGGAAAATTAAAAATGAGAACGACGTGGGCCCACCAATTAATTCTTAACATATATATATATATATATATATATATACACTCATTTCGAATAGCATATATGGATACTGTAAAATATTACGTAGATTCAGGAATTCTATTTGGAATTAAAATATGTAAATACATAATATTTTTACCATCATAATAATTTTATACAGGTTTTACATTTGGAGGGATGTAATGCAGCAAAATGAAGGGATAAGAATGTAAAACGATTGATTTTGTAGGGACACAAAAGTAAATTTGATGGTTAATAACGAGCGCCAGCAAGGGAGAGAGATCACGTGAGTCACTGACCCACGACAACACCCAAAGATACAGTGTGGGACCGACCCCGCTGACGGAGATGAATGGGGAAGTAAAAAGGCTGTCACCTTAATAAAAGCACGCAAAAGAAAATTCCATATTTTAAAGATACATCGCGAGTTAATAGTGGGACCCACGCGAAACACACCTTCCACGTCATAACCATTGTCACGTATTCTCGAGGGTGTCTGAATGCTTCCACGCACATGCATTTATATGCGATTAAATTGGGTGCGTCATATCATGTCGAAATGTCGTTCGCATGTACCTTTTTTATGTTTGTCTTTTATCTGCAATTATAATTTTTCGATGTGTGATGTGCTAAATTCTACTTCCATTTATTTGACAAAATTATACGTATATATACTCCCAAAGTCGATCGTTTCATACCTATACATATGTACGTTAATTAATCTTCATGCTGTTTTTTGGGATCTTTAAAAGCAAATTTAGAACTACAGACATATGTACGTTAATAATCTTCATTGGCTATTTTTAATTAGTTGTTGGCTGGAACTCTTTAAAAGCAAATTTAGAATTATATGTACATTTATGTGATATGGTATATTTTGACGGTCTGGACACGTCACCGTTGACACCGCACACCAAATCGGAGCCCTACGTCATTTGTCCCATCTCGAGAGCTCGTACCAAGAAGATATACCACACATCCCGTCCTAGGAGCTCGAGGTGGTGTCGTATAACGTCGCTCTACGCGTCCCGAAACGACGGTCGATCAGAATGGTCATCCCATCTCTCGGGGGTCAACAGCAACAACGCTGAATCGACGCACCATCAACCCTCGCGCCACAGTATAAAACTCCTAGCTAGCCTCCGGCCATGAGAAAACAAGAAAAAATAAGGAAAAAAGCAATCCCTCTCGTTACTGACTTGCTCGTCGGAGGGGTTATGATTAGGTACCATCCAGCGGAAGCCATTTTTACAAGAGGATGACCACTTATCGATAGTGAGGGACTCAACACAGGAGCACGATCCGCTCAGCACTAAGGAGTCGCTAATCAGCCCCGATCTCAACCAGCACTCCTTCCCAAGAGCTTGGGTATCTCATCATCCGAATCACCCTATAGAAAGCTCCCGACATCAGCCCGTGGATCTAACCGTGCTGACTCACCAGCTACGACATATCTGTCGGGTAACATATGAGTTGTTAATTCATATTTTAGCTGTCCTAAGTCCAACATGCATGTTGACTTTGGTTGGAGAAACGAAAACAACTCAACGTCCAAGTCAACGCACATGTTAATTCAGACTTAGAGTGTAGCATCCGAGAACATAGGATGATGATTGGCTTAATCAGATTCTATGTACCGCATGGTTAAATCAATCATCACATCATCTCAAGACATAAAAATATATTATCATTAGTTCAATACGATTTTATTCTTTTAAAATTAACTAAAATATATGCGACTAAATTCTTACTTCATACTCCTAATACGAGACTAAATATAATTATCGATTACATATATAAATAATATATATATTACACATAAATATTAGTGATACAGATAAATAATTTTAATATTTGAAATGATATATATGTTATATAAAAATATAAAAGCTATGTTCAATTTTTAAGTATTAATTTATAAAAAAAATCTTATTTTTCATATAAACGATCTAACCTTTTTCATAATTCTTGTAATGATCTTGCTATGATATAATAATAACTTTTTTTTTTTTGGTGGATTGATCCAAAGTAGATAGATGGTGTTGAACCAATGCATAGGGTGATTCGATCTAATTTATTAGGTATATATATTTTTTATTAGGCTTAGAGTGGGTGCTTTTCAAAATACTACAAGTCAATTCACATGAAAATCTCCTGATTTATTTATTATTTTAAATCAATAATGAGACATATTTTAAATCTTATTTTTCTATAAGTCGATTTGCATTGGATTTTGAGTTCATTTAAGATTATTGATATTGATATCTTATCTAATTATTGGTGTTGTATTTTAAGATTTAAAAAAATGATGATAATTATGAGTAGTGTTAATTATTGATGCACACAAAAGAATTTTAATATTTAAATGGATATATAAAATTGGAGGGCAAACATAATATTTCTAATCTTTAAAAGGGCAGATATGTAAAGTTTCATTACGCTTTGCTAACATAAAGCATACAACTTATCGCCGTCTCGATCGCCCTTCTGCCCTCGCCGCGTCCTCGGACCGCTCGTCAAAATGATCGCTTCGCATTCGCAGTTCGCCTCGCTCCCCCATCCTCTTCCGCCGCCGCCGCCGCGGCTCCTGAACCAGCCGTCATTCCGGCCGAGGGCCACGCTCCTCTCCCGCGTCTTCCGCGTCCCCACGGGGCGATGCCACCGTCAGCGACACCCTTGGGGCGGCGGAACGGTGCGGGCTCTGGACGCAGCCCAAGCGTTCGACTACGAGTCGCGGGCGTCGGAGGAGTTGGAGCAGCGCGCGCGCCTCAAGATCGCGATCGTCGGCTTCGGCAACTTCGGGCAGTTCCTGGCCCGCACGTTCGCTGCGCAGGGCCACGCCATCCTCGCCTACTCCCGCTCCGATCACTCCGCCGCCGCTGGATCCCTCGGCGCCGCCTTCTTCCGTGACCCTCACGATCTGTGCGAGCAGCACCCGGATGTGGTGCTCCTCTGCACCTCCATCCTCTCCGCCGAGGCCGTCCTCCGCTCCCTCCCCTTTCAGCGCCTCCGGCGCAGCACCCTCTTCGTCGACGTGCTCTCCGTCAAGGAGTTCCCCAAGAACCTCCTCCTCCACATCCTGCCACCGGACTTCGACATCCTCTGCACCCACCCCATGTTCGGCCCTGAGAGCGGCAAGCACGGATGGGCAGGTCTCCCCTTCGTCTACGACAAGGTTCGCATCGGTGACTCAGAGGACCGCGTCGACCGGTGCCGCCGCTTCCTCGACATCTTCGCTCGGGAGGGCTGCCGCATGGTAGAAATGTCCTGCGCTGAGCACGACGAGAACGCCGCCGAGATCCAGTTCCTGACCCACACCGTCGGCCGCATCCTCGCCAAGCTCGACCTTAAGTCCACTCCCATCAACACCAAGGGCTACGAGACCCTGCTCAAACTCGTAGAGAACACCTGTAGCGACAGCTTCGACCTTTACAACGGCCTCTTCATGTACAACAAGAACTCTACCGAGTTGCTTGAACGCCTCGAGCTCGCCTTCGATTCCCTCAAGAAGGAGCTCTTCGGCCGCCTGCATGACATCCTGCGCAAGCAGCTCTTCGAGAGCCCTAACGGCAGTAGTGCGCCTGTCGCCAAGGATAATTGAAGAATGTCCTTTTTATTTCCTTGTCACTATGTATGCAAGTAGTTTTCTTTTTCCAGTTACTTAATTATCATTCAATGTTATCCTTTTCTTTTCCTCCCACAGGATTTCCAGTCCTATGCGGAGATACATTCGGTAGGCTGGTTTATGAAGATAACAATCTCGTAGTTGGCAAGTGCCAATGGATCAGGGAAAGGTTACTCCCTATTTCTGAATGTGATATCACTATTTATGAAAGGAAGACTGATGATTTTCATTCTTTTTCAACAAGTTTGCTGAAATTTAGATTTTTTATAGTGTACAATATAAAGTATTGGATAATATTGCTGTTCGAAAGTAAGAAAGCTTGGAGTTCTCTTTTTGTTGGTTTTGTTCTGATTTTAGTTGTGTTGTTATTGTTGGATAATAAGGTTTTGCTGTGTCTTTTGCTGGATAATTTTGAAGATTGTTGTGCAATAGTAAGAAAGCTTGGAGTATGTTTTTTGTCTGTTTCATTGTTGTTTTAGTTGTGATGTTATGTTGGATAATAATTTTTTTCTGTGCCTTTTGCTGGATTATTTTGAATATTGCTGTGCAATAGTAAGAAAGCTTGGAGTATGTTTTTTGTCGGTTTCGTTCTTATTTTAGTTGTGTTGTTATGTTGGATGATAAGTTTTTGCTGTGTCTCTTTTCTGGAGTATTTTGAATAGATATCTAGGTAGACAATCCCATAGTCTTATTGTTACCTTTGTAGTTTGATCTGGCTACTGTATCCTCTAAAATCTAGGGAGGATATGTTACTGGATTTTTCTGCTTTTTGTTGTCACAGGTTGCTACTAGCTTGTGTGTTATCCACTTAAGATGCTGGAGTACAAGTTCATATATTTATTGAATGTACTGACATTTGATCACTGTCTAAGATACGAGCTTATGGTTTAGAGCTTTTCAGTAAGCCCGAGTACCGAAGGATTGCGCCTAGGTTGAATAACATTGAACATGTGACTTATGAATTCCATGCTGCAGTCATACTAGCTTTGTATGTCTCATATCGGGCCTCATACTTTTTATCACTAGGAACACAACCCTATCAAATGAGGGCTGGTTTTGAGTAAACTGCTTACCATAATAGTTTATCTTGATTCTTTTTTTCAAGATGTCAAATGGTGCCTAATTCAAGTTCTTGTAATTGCTTGACATGATGCATTTTGGGATTAGGTCTGGATCAAAAGGTGCATCGACTTGAATTCAACTGCACAAGTGAGAGAGAAAGAAAGTGATTATTTTACATGCATTAAAGAAAAAGAGGAAGAATTGGCTTCAGGTCAACTGTATGGCATTATTGATGCTGCCATATGGCATTTTTGTATGTGAGTTATCCCAACTTAACTGTATGGCATTACCTCTATGCACGTAACTGGAAACTTAGGTGATGTGCTTATCAAACAAGATCTATCCCTTTCTTAATATGTTTAATAATGCTTGCATAAATCTATTTGAGATCATCTTTTCTCAGATAAGTTGCATAAGTTTATGCAAGCTTGCTCTTTCTTAAATAAGTTAATGATGATGGATAAATCTACTCAACAGAGGTTTTGTATCACAAAGAGAGATCGTGCCATATCAAAGTTTATGTAGGTTTTCTTAGTGCAAGAAGAAACGGCAATAGTGAAGAATTGTGTTAATTCAAAATATCAAATTGTTATCGTTTATTAATCTCTGAACAAAATATCTATTGAGCAGAACACCAAGGAAATATTTTGCTGAGTGTTTTAGTAGAGTGTGCTGCTTTGTTAATGCATTTCAACTGTTGTTTTCTTATACATGTCACTTTGCTACTTAAAAAATTGACATAATAACACAAATGTGGATCACACAATAGATGATGATAATGCTTAACCATCACTTAAGGTTTTTACATCATGATATAGTTTTAACCAAATCTACAGGTCATGAGTTTCATAGTTTTTCCAAGTCGACAGTGAGTTTATTGTTTCTCTGAGTCGGCAGTATCCTTTTCCTTTGCTAACTCTTATCTTCATATGATCTTCACCTATCCATGGATTATAGCATTTTGTTGAAGAAGCATACTTAAAGCTTTGAGTTTATTGTTTGGGAACATGATAGATTGCTTTATAACAGAGGCCCATATATGTTAGCACCATTTCTCTTTTGTGCTTCTTATCATGAATAGAATCATTGAGCAATTACAATAGTCAGCCAACTTGAAACAAGTAAAAGGTTAACTGTTGAGATGATATTGTCTATATTTTTCGTGTCTTTGATCTGTTACATGTAGTTTTTTGAACTTTTTCTTTAAATTAGTAGTTTCTTAGTTGTCAACGGCACTCCAAAGAAGAAAACAGATATTTCTCTTTTGTGTCATTCTTTTTCCATGCGGCATTGAAGGTTATGAAGTTTGCAGCATTTTAAATGAAAGTACTGCTCTGTCCGAGTCTTTGAAGGTAGTCCTTATGACTATGTGCATAAGTGTATTTAATCATGCCACTTTCACTTCAATGGTTTCTAAGCTACTTAATTATGGTCCATTTAAAGCAAATCTATGCCTCCTCTCCTGCAATTTTAGATCTCTTGAACCCCACATTGGCGGGAACTAAAAGTAAATTTACAAAAAACTTGTTTATTTTGTTTTCCTGGTGGCAAAGACGTGAACTGAGTGTCTCTCGAGATGCTTATGGACACAAGACAATGAACTTTCATGGACTTGCAACCTCTCAGGGCATGATATGCGTGATAATTTAAATCAGCCATTTGGTATCTAAGAGATACCATGTTTGGGTCACTCTGAGAAGATCAAACTACAAGTAAAAGATCCGTAAATGTTCTTTAGAAGCTGCCAAGATTGAGAGTGATGGATCTGAGTTTCAGTAGATGATGATTGCCCTTCTTATGATGAGTATGTATATGATCTCAATTAATGAAATGGCTTTTGTAGAATTGAATATATGGGTGAAAGATGAAAAGTTTTCCAGTTAGAATTATAACTCCTCCTGATAATCATAATTACTATGTATGATATGCTGCATTAGCTACCAGTACTTAAAACATTCTGATTGTTCAACATGCAAAGGATGCTAGATTTCTTTGTTGTATCAAAATATATGATTCACTAAGTAATATATTCGATATCACAATTTAGAACTGCCTTTGTTACTCTTTCTTTATTGACTAAATAGCAAGTTAATAACCTACCTTAGACCATCAAACATAACTGTGAAATACATGAATGGATAGCATTATCTTTTATAGCATCATTTGATTCTAAGACATAACTTTGCAAAACTGTAGAAGTATTTACTGTCTCAATTACCTTTATTCTTTTTGGATCTAATCCTTGTAGTGAATCTTTTATCTTTTGCAGATATTCTTACTGCATCATAGTTGGATCCTCCTTGCAGTAACGTGAGTCATTCTTTCACGTGTCCTTAACACCGACAAAATTTCGCTGGCCAACTTGCCCACATGTCGTCTCCATAATGCTTGAGAGAAAACCCCTGTCTAAAAGGAAATGTAGTACAAATTTTGCTATTTCGGATTCGTTTGTGGTACCAAGACATAGAATTACAACTCCTCCTGACAATCTAGTAAAACATTTTCAGAAAATCATGTCTGCTTGCAGGCATAGATTTGTTGTGTAGAATTCTGTTTCGTAGAAGGTTTGTGGTCCTCTTCACGTTGTGGAGATGCAGAATGGTCTCACTGAGGTGAATGAACACTTGAATAACTATTGAAGAAGTTCTTTAATGGTCATTGTTGCAGAAAATTATTGGAGATTTGTACATGTGGAGCAGTGAATGTCTTGTTGCCAAAATTTTTTTTGTTGCCAAATGTTATTAAGATCTTGTGCAAGTGGCTCAAGACAATGACAAAACCAATACAAGCCAGTTTTTAACCATGGCATTGGGCTTTATTTTTCCTTGCTACATATCTTAATAATGAAAAGTTGATTAAGATGTCTGATGTTACTGTGGTCCGTGTAGGTATGCTAACGGTTTACTGTTTCTAAATCCTTTTCTTTTGTACATTATGCAAGTTCAGTATCTTTGCCTCAAATTAGTTTCTGAAATCAAACTATTAATGATTCCATGGACTACTTAAGGTTTCATCCGCAGCAAAGTTGAATGAAGCAGGAAGCAAAAGATTTATGCACCAATATATCTCTGTAATGATTGACAAACAAGCTGTTGGCCATAATACTAATGTTCCTTTACATGCTTGCGCACAGAAGTTCATCGGTCGATCTAATTAATCCAATCAACATTGGTTGTGTGCTTTGTACTTGCTTTTTTTTGTTTAACATGGTGCATGAGAGCATTACTTTTCAACTTCTCAAGTATTTTAGACAGTACTCACCAGCATTGTTTTTCACTTCACTTCATTGTTTTTGGTATTGATCCAATTATTTTGAAGGTGTGTCCCTACAGTGACAACAAACCTAACAAGGGTTGAATAAGAAAGAGTTCCTTCTTAGTTGCTTGATGTGTTAATATAGCTGGTATTGTTTCCTTTTGTAATGTAATTACAGTAGCAGTGTCTTATCAGTGGTATTGTTTGTTGACAAAGGTAAGCCTTATAGCAATCACAATGTACTTGGAATTTGTTCTGGCTATGCTAATTAACCTAGTTAACCTGATTCAGAAGAATATTCTGTCACTTTTACATTAGAGTTCTTGCTGATTCTTTTTTCCTAGCAGATCCTTACAGATTAGCTCTACCTATGAATCTCCCTCACTCATGGCTTGAATTTTGCCTCTTTTCTTTTGTTTTCCATGATTAATTTTACATTTGCAGATGAGGTTAATTGGTGAAGGCAAATTTTGATTGCCATCCCTACTGAGATAAGAAAAGATTCAGGTGTGATGCCTCTGACCTTTGTTTTCCCCCTTTTTGGCAATTGGGTTATTTTTCATTGCATCATTCAACATTTTCTTCCTTCTGTACACTTTCCATTTTCCCACAGCATTCAGGATGAAATAACTCATCTCATTACCCTGTGAATCGGTCAGACAAGAACACTCCAAATGCCATATGGAGCAAGCACTGGCTTTGCAAGTTTTAGGTGAATTCTACAAACAGATTCATCTCTAGGCTTTTTTTTTTTTCCAATAACAGTACCCAAATGTAGATTCAATACACAATTCTGTAAGTCATGCAAGAGAGGCACCAAACACATGTTTGATCTCATTCTCTCAAGAATGTTTACTGTCCACTAGACCACAATGATCATCATGATTACCATCATCATCCATAAGGAAATTTTGTTTGTTCCCTTGCCAACATGGAATTTTTACAGTGACCACTGACCTAATCTAGTGATACAGGATCAACCAATGATGATAAACATAACTCTGACAGCAAAAGATAAAAATGACAAATAACAGGTGCAATTACTAATCAAACATTGAGGTGGATTAAGATCGAAGTACTCTTAAAGTACAAGCATCATCAAGTTCTCCCATTCTCCTCCATGTTAGAAGATCTTGAACAGGAGACCACCATGAGTAGCAAAGAATGGTGCAAACACAAGAGACTCCACTGCCATTAGCTTGATGAGAATGTTAAGTGATGGCCCAGATGTATCCTTGAGAGGGTCCCCAATGGTGTCACCAATAACAGCAGCCTTGTGGGGATCAGATCCTTTAGGGCCAAGACTCCTTGCATGCTCTGATGCCCCAGCCTAACAACATCAAATGAGAATAGCAAATCACATTATTGCCTCAATTAATTAGAGACTCTGATGTGAAATATATGAGCAATTAAGACATACTCTGGCAGGAAAATAAACACAATCAAAATAACCACATCTAGTCTCATTAGAGCAACTACCTTTTTTATTGTAATAATTACTGGGTCAAAGCTCAAAGTGCAATCAAAGGTAAACGTTTAGGCTAATATGTAAAAGAACATGAGTAGAAAAGGTAGTGTTACCTCGATATACTTCTTTGCATTGTCCCATGCACCACCAGTGTTAGATGCAGAGATAGCAATCTGTGGCATAACAAACCAGCATTACTAACACAACAAATGCCGACTAATCGTTAGATTATTTCTGCATACCTGCACCCCAGAAACGAGTGACCCAGCAAGAACCCCAGATAGGGTTTCCACACCAAAGAAGGTTCCAACAATAAGTGGAGTAAGCAACACCAGAGCACCAGGAGGAATCATTTCCTTGATTGAGGCATCTGTGGAGATCTTTACACAGGTCGCATAATCAGGTCTAGTGCTACCATCCATAAGCCCCGGTATAGTGTTGAACTGCCTGCGGACCTCCTCCACCATCTTCAGAGCAGCACTGCCGACACTCTTCATGGTCATGGCCGAGAACCAGTAAGGAAGCATGGCACCAACAATTAACCCGATGAACACCTTTGGAGTCAGAACATCAACGGTGGAGATGGCCGCCCGACTCACAAAGGCACCAAAGAGTGCAAGGGACACCAAGGCAGCCGAACCAATAGCAAAGCCCTGGGGAAAGGCAATTAAAATAAGAACCATTTTCGGAACCTAGGACCTCAAGATAAGTTCAAATGTAAAGAACCTTGTGACAATCTTAGTGCAATATTCATAGCTGGTAATGAAGTTGACACAAATTGTAGAGTCAAAACACTCGGAGGTGTAATACAAAATTTTGTCATAGGCAATTAATTGATGCAATCGAGAACGTAGTATAAGCACAATTTTTGGTCAGAAATATGATGACTGCTTTCAAAGAGAAATGTTTTCCTCAAATAGCCTTATTTCTCTAAGAGGTTATAGAAATAGCCTTTTTTCAAAATATTTCCCCAAGTAGCTTGTATGTAAAAGAAGAAAAAAAAAACTGATAAATGAATACTAGAAATCTGATTGTGGAGAGCAGCTTCACAAACTTAGAAGTCACTATTACAGTAACAGTTCTATGACATGGTTATCTGAAAGTGCAGTTGCAAACAAATTTTTTAATCAAATGCAGTAGTGAAAGAATCTGCATCCACCTATCTAAAATGCAAAATAGCTGCCAAAGACAAGAAGGCATGATCAACTTACTTGCCAAGCTCAGAGCAAGTTTCCTTGCGAACATTCAAGCAGACCCGTTATTGTTAATAGATTGCAGAAAACATTTTGCACATACCTTTCCTATGGCTGCAGTGGTGTTGCCTGCAGCATCGAGTGCATCTGTTCTCTCCCGAATTCTATGGCTCATTCCAGCCATCTCAGCGATGCCTCCAGCATTGTCACTGATTGGTCCATAGGCGTCGATGGCCAGGCCAGTTGCTATAGTGCTCAGCATGCCTAAAGCAGCAACAGCAATACCATACATGGCAGCAAGACTAAAGCTAACAAATATGCTGATGGCAATGGCAAAAATGGGGATAATGACAGACTTGTATCCTAAAGCCAGCCCAAAAATGACATTAGTGGCAGCTCCAGTTCGGCAGGAATCAGCAACATCTTGGACAGGACTGTAAAATGAGCAGTTAACATACAGCACTATCAATGAATTACAAAATCATGGTAGCCCATGTTTGGAAGAATAGAAGAACCAATTTTTTTTACCTATATGCATTACTCGTATAGTATTCGGTGACAAATCCAATGACCAGGCCAGCCCATAATCCAATTGCAACACAGAAGAACAATTCCCTGTCCATCTCTAACAATTAGTTTCTCTTTAAAACTTACCATTTTAAGAAACAAAAGGAGCATAGTACTTACCAATTTTTTACCTGCTTCTGGTCACCAAAACTGAAAATTGTAAAAGTTGACGGGAGAGCTATCCAACTGATGATTGCAATACCAACAGTCATAAGTGCAGTAGAGATTATGAGTTGCCATTTTAAAGCAGGTTCGATTTCTTCTACAGCCTTTATCTCAAAAAAATCGGTTGCAAAGAGAGTAGTTATCAAACAAACTATGATTCCCATGGAGCTAATAAGCAAAGGGTAGCACATGGCAGTGAAATCATGGTTGACTCCAAACGAAGAAATGGAGGCAACAACAAGTGCAGCAGATGATGATTCAGCATAAGAACCAAAAAGATCAGATCCCATCCCAGCAATATCTCCAACATTGTCTCCAACATTGTCAGCAATCACCTGTATTATACATACAAAATTAAAAATAGGAAAAAAAGAAAAGAAATCACCGACTAGAATGCTAGTATGAACTGGATAAATTTATCTGGAACTTTCGGTAGATAAAGCATAAGGAAGAAAACATGGGTAAGAAACATGACATATAGAACCAGAAGAACTTACAGCTGGGTTTCTAGGGTCATCTTCAGGAATGTTCCTTTCAACCTTACCAACAAGATCAGCACCAACATCAGCAGCTTTTGTGTAGATACCACCCCCTACTCTACCGAAAAGAGCCATGGAAGACCCACCAAGACCATAACCAGTAATTGACTCAAAAAGGCCTTCCCAGTCATCACCATAGTACAATTTGAATAAGTTGATGGCAATATAGAGGACCAACAAGCCATTTGCAGCAAGCAAGAAGCCCATGACTGCACCAGACCGGAAAGCGGTGATGAAAGCTTTTCCAACACCCTTCCTAGCTTCTAGAGTTGTTCTTGCATTAGCATAGGTTGCAATTTTCATCCCAAGAAAACCAGAAACCAGGGACGTTGTTGCACCAAGCAAGAAGGAGATTGTACTGAAGCCAGCGTTTGCAAGTGCTGGTTTGCAATACTTATCCTTGCTATAGGTACATGGTTGAGCTTTTGTGCTAAAGCCTTCCACAGAACCAAGAAATAGGAAAATCAGGACCGCAAAAGCAACCATGAAGATTCCAACATATTGGTATTCGGTGAAAAGGAATGAAGTTGCTCCTGCTCACATGCATAGCAAACATTCAGATGCATAAAGAAATAATCGACAACTCAACTGGAGTCAGAAAAATTGTCACTATATGACTGATAACTAAGGGTTTGCCTGTACTAAGTAATACTAATAATCAAGGCCTGCCGTACCGAAGCGTATCGCCCGCTACCGGGCGGTACGCCCCAAAAACCCCCGTATCGGGCGATACGAGGCAAAATCGGGCGGTAACGGTTGAAATTTCGACCGTTACCGCCCGGCACCACTCGGTACCACTCGGTAACGGTCGATTTCGACCGTTACCGTCCGACACCACTCGATAACAATCGAAATCGACTGTTACCACACAGTAGCAATGCTACAATGTTCCAACGGTCAATTTGACCGTTGGAGCTTTTTCTCCTATTTAAACCATTCTTCTCTCCCCTATTTCATTATACTCTCTTAAACTCTCTCTCAAACTTTCTTTTTCTCTCCTAAACTCTATAAAACAACGATTTGTGAATTCAATCGAGGCTAATTTGGGAATATTAAGAGGAAGAACTTTCTAATCAAGAGATATGTATTCGTTTTTTTTAATTAGAGAGTAATTAAGACTATCCTAACTTTTCTAATCAAGAGGTATGTATTCGTTTTCTAATCAAGAAGTATGTATTCGTAACTTGACAACACTATCCTAACCTTTTTTTTCTAATTTTCAGATATTTTGAAGGGATAAATCGATAAAATCAGGTGTACCGCTCGGTACACCTCGGTATACCGGTCGGTACACCCGTACCGTACCGAGCCCGGGTTGAAACTCCGGTACGGTACGGTATGACGGACCTTGCTAATAATTACATATTGCACAAAAAGAATACAATCAGACCTTTTGATCAGACAAATTTGATCCAATATGCCAGATTACAATTCTATAACTAAGCAATTTCCTTTGTAATATTAATTTGAGATTGTCAGGAATAGACCCACAGATGGAAGCAACACATTCAACGATAAAGACGACTTGCATGCAATATCTGAAGATTTAAGTGACACTTAAATCAGACAAGTTTAGTCACTTGGAGAAAAAGGGGAAAAGGAAGTCTCTTTCCATGAGAAAATCGGATTAAATTCCATGATGAGTTTGTGGTTGTCCTCTGTTGTAATGTCAATTTATGATCATGAAGTTTAGAGCTGCTGTAGGTACAGAACACTAAAATAGCACCAAATCTAAATTACACTAAAATACCACCAGATCTGAATTTAAGATCATGAAATTTCATCTGGCATATTCTTTTTTTTATTTCCTCCAATGCTTTCGTTCAATAAATATCATATTACTTAAAGACCACTTCTTGATGGTTTAGGTCATATAAGATTCGACGAAACAAACAACTGAATCTTCACATCTTAATCTCGCATAGCCTTAGCGTAACAAGCAAGAAGCAAATAAACTAAAACCATTGTCACAATTCTAAAACAGCTCAAAATAATCATTCCAGAAGACAAAAAAACATTAAGAGGACCAACAAAGAAAGATTATCCAAGATTGATTAACCGCACATTTATAAGTATGATAACACATTTCTAGGAGAAAACAAAATTGAAGTTACTCCCCAAATTACTTCAACCTACAGCAACAAATATCCACGAATACGAGTAAAAAAAAGGTTTTTAACTTCAGAATTTAACCTATCTTTCAGAAAAATCAAGAAGAAGAAAACGTTAGGGCACTAGAAAAGCACGAACCAATATGTGTTCTCAAAAATTCTTTTTTATCCAACTAAAATATAATGACTACAAAAAATATTAGCCAAAAGAGAAAAAAAAAAGAAAGAAAACATCAATTAAAAGAAATCATGACCTACCATTTCCATTAGCTCCATTATTCATAGAAATACCACTTAAGCTAAAACAAAATCGTAAAACCACAAAAGATCTTCTTCTTCCCCCCAAGAACTGAGACAAAGATCATTAAAACCCTTCGAGTGCCCGCAAAACTAAAACCAAATAACTAACAAGAACGCACAAACACTATAACTATCACCTTCAGAGATGGCGCTCTGGATCTCGGCGCACTTCACGACGACGTTGTGGTCATTGAGCCCTTCCTCCTCCTCGATGAGGTAGTCGGAGACCCCATCCTTGCTGCTGGCCGAGTCCTCCGGAGAAAGCTTCACCTTGGAGACCAGCAGCCATTGCACCAACGCGAAGGCGATCCCGACGACGGCCGCCGCCGGGATCAGGATCTCAGTAAGGAGGCCCGACAATATCGCCGCCGCTGCCATTGTCGGTGATCCGACGACTGTGCCGAAGGCGGAGCGCGAGTGTCGAGGGCTTAGTAGCCTCCTCGATTTATCTTTTTTTAAGTTTTTTTTTCAAACAATACTTTTAAATTTTAAAATATTTAAAATATATTTTTTTAAATTTTTTCAAAAAATTTGATATCAAATGCAACGTAGAATAAATACATAATTATAAATATAATTTTATTAAAAATATATTTAGTTCATAACAAATAAAGCATATCGATAACCTAGGAAATGTTTCGGAATATATTAATGATATATTAAATATATTTTTTTAATTTTTAATTTTTATTAATTTTAATTATTATAATATTTTTATTTGACTAATTTATATTATTATTATTTTTAAATAATATTAATAATATTTATTAAAAATATTGAATACACCGTAAGTGACACTGATCCATTACTGACAGATTAGGCCCCACATTGTACTCTCTTGGAGGTATCCTGAATTGATTCCAATGGCTTACCTATGTTTGGTTTGATTCTGTCCTTCATGCGGTGTTGATACATATCTCCTCTTATCCATCTAGAGAGTGAGCACGAGTGGGGAGAGTCGTGTAAGTCGAAGGCTCCCACGTGCGACACTGCACATCGCTCAGCCATCACCTTCAGGTGCTCAAGATCATCAATCACAAAGGAAGCACGATTCTCAACTCAGATCAGAATACCATCCAATATTGTACGTAGTCAAATGGATCGAGCATAGACTGATAAGAACATGCATCTTTGTGCACTTTTGTTTCTCTTGCATAGTTAGATATTTACTAGCTTAAATTATACGACAATTTCTCGAAAATGCAGATATAGTGAGTTTCTCTTCGCATTCATGCTCATCCAACCTGCTTGATCCACCAACTGTAAGTATTCACTCTAGAAAGGCAGCCATTAGTTGCAAGCCAATAGCTTCATACAAAGCAGCTCAACAATTAAGAAATTGGGTACCTTTGGACTCTACCATCGATCGAAAGCATGGCTAATGATTCACCAACTTGTAGGCAAAACAAAGTTAGTCTATTGGTTCATACAATAAATCAGATTTATATACATTAAAGCAAATAAATAGCATTAAAGCAATACAAAACCTGCTGAAAGAGCAACATGACATGTAAATGTGACACACGCTGGTAATTTAAAATTCCTGAGAGTCGAATCAGTCATTTACCGACTGTTGTTGCGAACACAACACTTTCGAATAATTGCAGGATGAAGATGGTATCTGAAAATCTATATACACTTGGCAAAATAGTTAACGATAGATGTGAATATAAAGAAATGGCAGCAATTAATCCTACCTATACCAACAAATTCAATCATACAATAGTTAGATATTCTTGTGTGATGCTCGACATATTTGTGAGGGTAGTCTGGAATCACTTCAATTTCCAATACGAACATAAAGAGTTCTCGAGTAAAGAATCATGGTGTTGCAATACGTTTGACGATGCTAGAAACCCAAAAATCGGGATAATCGATCTGATAAAGTAGCTATTACAAACCCACCAAATACCTGCAAGTATAATAGGACCAAAAAGAAAATCAGGTTAAGACCGCATTTGCTTGAAGATGAAATTTGTACATCCTTAACGTAAGCTTACTTTTGAAATACAACATGGATATAGCTTTTTTTTTTCTCATTAGGAATCATAGTATGGCCATGCATGGAATACACCAATAAGGTACTAATAAAATGGTATTACTTGGTTCCCAAGTCTCATATATTTGGTAAATACAATGTCAAAAGCTATGAAGTTCTATTAGATATCATCAAGATTTGTGGCTGCCCATCCAAGTTGAACATGCCAAACTAGGGTAATTTTCGATGGAATAAATACCCACAATTCTATATAGGGGTCTTGGTTGTGCTCCTGTGCATAGAAAGGCTTAGGGTTTTCTTGAGAGTGGTAAACCCATAATCACTTGCACTAAAGGCTCCACTCAGAGAGTCGAAACCCTGTTCTCCAGCTCAGGTATCGCTTGAGAATAAACTGGTTCATCATTGAAATATTTATGTGCACTGGCATGGGTAAATGCTAGGTTCAAATAAATATATGCACAATGGATTCGCATTATTCTACTGTGTTACATGAGAGTGGTGAAACCCATCATCACTTGCATTAAAGGCTCCACTCAGAATCAAAACCCTGTCCTCCAGCTCAAGGTTCTCTTGGGAATAAATTGGCTTATCATTTGAATATCTATATGATGGTCTTGCGTAAAACCCAAGTTCAAATATATGCACAAGGGGTTTAAGTTATTCCACTGTGTTACATGATTATGTTATCATCATGTACAAAGGCATACATCCTTTCCATGACAGTTTCGTCCTTAGGGTGATGCTTCCTACAGGTGCTTTCCTATTGCACAAGCAAAAGATCTTGTTTTTTGTTTGGATCATGGACCATTCTAAGTCAAAGAAAGTTGTAGGCCTTCAGTTGATCAGCACACCATTATATACAAAAGGAGAGTAACCATGGGTGAATATCCAATAACAGATCTTTGTTGGTTGTATGAAGAGTAGGGAGAGAAAAGAACAAAGAGACTTGTTGGGCTCTTTCTAGTTTTCTATCAGGCTTGTGCAGGATATACGATGCCCCCCTATGAACTGAGTAAAATCTCTTCAAATTGGTGACAGTTATGATAATTCTTTCATGCTTGTGAAAGCCTGAATTTAGATATTAGGATACATATTTAGCCTGAATTTAGATATTAGGATACATATTTATTAATTTAAGCTCAGATAAATCATTTTTTTTATTTGACAGTTTCCAATGTGCTTCCTTCAAGGGCATATGCCACCGAAAAGCAACAACTTTTATGCCTACCATCATTATAGTCCTTGATTATTTTCTCTATTCTCCTTATGGTGTTGCACTTATGTGAGTAGGATAGAGTCTATTGGTTCATGAAATTTTCAGTCTCTGATATTAAAACAATAGCACCCATCAAGGATAGGAATCAAGTGGACGTGCTCTGGAGAATCCTTGGATAAAAAATCTAAATAGGATGTTACAATAACACATCTTAGTGGAAAGACCCAAGGTGGAGAAATTAAACAGAACAATTTTAGCTTATGACCGAGGTTGGCCAAATTACTAAATAATAAGAATAAAAGAATTTCAGACAACCCTATGAGTTGAACAGTTGGAACAATATGAAATGATGGCAGTGAATAGTATCTTGCTTCACAGAATCATCATGATGAATGACCCATATAGGTAAAGTTCAGATGATTTTTGAAAATTGGATAAAACACATTTGGACAAGTGGCTGGCACCGGCTAGTTTTTTCATAGCAGTAAGGACCTGTTTACAACAGATTTCGAACTAGAATAGCTGTAAAGAGCAGATAGAGGTCTGTGAAGTGAGACACAGAATTGTAGCGTACCAAAATCCTATGAGAAGAGGACGTTGCAAGAGAGATAGAAAAGGTCCATATTATTTGTCAATGTTAGCCCAAGACAGTGAGACACTAGGTTCTAGAATGTTTTTTCAATGTCTTCACACTGCTGAATTTGAAACAAGGATACAGCACTTGTTTGGATAGCGATGATCCCACCAAAAAAGCGTTTAACTTCCCACATTGAAATAGAGATGAATTATATCTTCTTTATATAAAGAGGTAAGCCATGGGTGGCCATCAAACAAGATGTTTGTTATATACCGTCAACTGTGAAGGGCAAAAGAAAAAGGAAAATGATAAGATTAAAGAGAGGGGTCCACAATTATCCATGGTTTTGCAATGGTCTTTATAGAAGATGTACTTTTTTCCCCAAAAAGGTCTCTTTCAAATTGTTGCTAGCTCTTATTGATTCCCTTGGCTTATGTGTGTAGAACTTAATTTATTCTTTTGAAGTAGCAAATGATTAGTTGTCAAACCATTGGATTAACTTTGCTCTGTTATTTTGACAGTAGTAAATTCCTGACCTTCCCTTGGATGGAATTTCAGTTGAAAATCATAAATGCCAACTATAGCAAGTAATATTAGACATGTTTCTTTGGACAAGGAACCTTGGTAAGTCCTATGATTTCCCATTAAATGGAATTTCAGTGCACCACAATACTGTGAGCTTAGAGCAAGATTACCTTTTTCCCATAAAAATCAGTTATAGAGAAGCATAAAAGATGCATGCTTAATTATCAAGAACGGAGACAATCATGAGAAAATAACTGCCATTTGGTAGATTACCTGAGCTGAGCCAAGGATATAGACTGCTGAATAGTGTCGACCATGAATGACCATATCAGCTACCATGGCAAGTGGTATTGTAAGCGACATGCCTAAGGTCGCTACCAAAGGTGTGGTCCAAACAACACACAATGCCCTGTTGCAGATAATATTCTAAATCAAATACAAGTCCAATGATTCTAATTTCATTACGACTATGTCGGACATGTACCAGAAGTAGTCCGAGAGTACACTTCCTACAAAGCCATTAGCAAGCACTACTTCTTCCATTTTAGCAGAGTGAGGTATCGTAAACTTGGGTTCGATCCCTAATGCAGTCAACGGCCACACTGCAAAGACAGAACAGCAACATATGTTCAAAAAAGTTAAGTAGCAAGTTAGCAGATAAACAAAAATTCTCAAATCATCATTATTAAGAATAAACACTTTTCAGAATAAAAAACACTGATAAGGTTAAGTAGGAGACGCATCGACTGTCTTATCAACAATGTCAAAGGTGGCACATAAATGGCAACATGAACCTAGGTTCTAAAGGAAAGAATGAAGGAACCACAGAAATGTGCATAATGCAAGGTATTGCAAGCTGATCATTTAAATCTAGGGAGAAAGAAAGCATTTCTTCATGACCAAAAACAGGGCAGGTGCAATTCAGGACAATATAGACTCTCCAAACACTGTAACACCATTAATTACCAACAGCATTGAGTGTGATTGAGAACAAAACAGCCTCAAGTCTCTTAGGGCAGATAGTTGACTCAATAACACATTTATGCTTTGTTTCATCCTCTAAAATTTACTATAAATGTTCCCATGTTGATCTTGGTTAAGTTCTATTGTCAGAAGTCAGAACTATGCCAAGTGTCATAGTATCACACAGAATATGTGCAAATTCTCATAATATTAGCAAATTTTGCAGAGGGTAGCTACAGGTCTTTCAAAGAACTATCAGGCTTTTTTTCTTTACAATTTTGTGTTAAATGCATCGTATTTTATTCTTGAGTCAATAAGCTTTTATCAAGGGAAGCAAACAACAAATGATCTGAGAAGCATCTCTATAATAGTCAACTCCTTCTGACAGACTCATAAAACGCTGTCTGCTTGTTCATCATCAGTAAATAGTGTCTATTGAATATAATTAAATTGTCACTAAATCACAAGCATGAAAATTGTAGTTACAACTCAAAATATTTGTTAGAGCAGCCAAAGGAGTTGGATTGTTTTGACAAAATAACTGATAATAAGTTCTTATTCTTATAGCCTGTTATACATATCAGACATTCTAATCTAGTAAGAGAGCATAGTAATGTCTTTACCAAGCCACCACAAAGCTACAAGTGTAAACAGTCCAACATATCCAAACAGCTTTTGAACATCAACTCCTTCCCCTTCCTCTCCTGCAAACTTTTTGAGAAGCACTGCATTGTTCATGTTTGGTATTTCATGTGAGTCTGGTGATCCATAACCAATTGGGGCTTACACCAAAAATGCAAGAACATACAGATCCTACTATACCAGTAAAGAGACCATATGTCATCGCTGAAAGAAGACCGAATAGATCCCCTGCAAGCGATCGCTTCCCATTACTGCAAAGAGTAGAACTCTGATTTTCAGAAATAAAGGCTATCAATCACTGATGAGATATATGATAAAGAAAGGAAGACGAGTTATAAGAAATTCTTCCTAAAATCAAGTTTAAAGTTCTGAAATAAAACTTGAAAAATGCATAGAAAGAAATATGAATATCCCGAGTCAACCACAAAAGAGAACAACCGACACACAAAATGTACCTAGTGGTGCTCATTTGTGACTCATCTGCTGCCCAAGTCTTGCCAAGAGTAGTCATCACAACGCCAGCCATGCTAACGAAAACAGCAACCACTTTGGCCATGTTTAAGGAGTCTTGCCGCAGAAGTACACCAACAAAAAGAGTAAAGAGCCCTGAAGTTGAAGATAACACAGTGGTACTTGCCACACTGGTTCTTGCAAGTGCTGCATTTGATAAATACTATATCCATCCATCAAAAGAAATATTAGTACCCTTACCTAATTAAAAAATGTAGCTTTATATTAGAGCACAGTTTTCTTTTTTCTTTATTGAGCATAACACCCCTAAATAGTGTATAAGCTGTATACAAACAAAAACATTCGAAGAATTAACTTTGTTTAGGATTAGCTTGAACATTCCTCAGTTCTTATAGGGGTGAAGGACATTTCATAGGGTTATCTAAAAGCATTTCCATTTTACCACTTACAAGAATCTGTGCGTGTGCCATCCAAAAAGTCTAATATTGTAATAAATTTATACTGAAATCCTGAAGAAATGCATATACAGCCATTTAGATAGACAACATCACCCGAAAGAAAAGAACTTCTGAGACTTCGTCTATCACTTTGACTCAAGGCTCTTTGCGTGTAACATCTTAAATAGAGATGACATCTAAAAAAAGGGAAAAAAATGAAAGTACTTCGTTGACATCAATTTGCGAAATTTACACCTACATTACAAAAGAATTAGAAAGCATAAAGTAGCAACTAGCATGAGCTTTGTTAAAACTACTATCAGAATAATGAACACAAAAGAAAAACAATCAGAATTGTATGAAGATGTTAGAATTTGGGGGCCAGTATGTGTTACAAAACCTTTTGAAAGATAAATTTACAATAGTTACATACAAGGGCTATTATATCTTAAGAACTCTAAACTAAAACGAGCAATGATAAACTTTTTGCCTCAATTTATGCATCATAAGGTGAAGAATGTAACATGGTCAGAATACACAGCAATAAAAGTCAACCCTCACCTCTGTCACGAACCAAATAGGGGCAAGATAAAATCCATATATTATGACCTCCTTAGTAGTGAATGATCTTCTTTCCTTCAGAACTTCAGCACCAACTTCATCTCTGATCTCAGAAATGAATGATTGTTCCTCTTCTTGTGCAGAAAGGTCAACTTCGCTATCTTTTCTAGTTAAAAGGGATTGTGATTCCATTTCCACCATCTTCTGAATCCCACTATTCTTTAGAGGAGATCCAGATGATTGTTTGCTGACAATTTGTGTACTTCTACCACTTCTAGAAGAATGTTTTCTCAGTAAATTACATATCCAATCTTTGATGAAAGCTACTGGTAGGTAAACAACCATAAGGGAGGCTCCCAAGTAAGTGACAGCAAATGGTTGTTTGTAGTCTGTAAATATACCCTGTATCACAATGTTAAAGATTATGTAAGAATTAGTACAAAAAACAGGCTGCATATTTTTACAACATTATTGAATTTATATAAGAAGAAACTTATTTTGTTCTACCAAAAACTTCACAATATACAAAACTATTAGCACCCGGTATAAGTTAAGTGGAGAGATTGTTTCCAAAACTTGAACCTTCGTTTTCTAGTTCATAAAGAAGCAAACTGTTGTACCAAGTCTCACTCTCTAACATGAAGTTTACATTCAATTAAATAAATCATTGTTTCTCATCACTCAACAAGGTCATGATCAAAAAGACCACAAAGTAATTCATTATGGGAAACCTTAATAGTATCAAATCTGGTGTTCCAACACAATATAAACAAATCAGATAAAGGACGGCAAGGAAATAAGTAGAAGGAAATGAAGGAAACACATTCTGTATTATCTATATCTGATCAAACAACAAAGTTGATGAATCAGTAGGTGTCCCATTTACCTGAAAGTAGGTTCAGGAGTTAGTAAGCCAAACTAGATGATGCTAGCAGTAATAATGTAACAGTTAAGAAGATTGTGTCTAGTTGATTGAGGCACATCAATCTGATGCTGTCATTAGAGCCAAATACATCTCCTTAACTTGAACAGGTGCTTAGCAGTTCTTTCCTGAGAAACAAAGATAATCTTTCCTCCAAAGTGCACTTTGTATATGGTGCCTGAACCCTTGGTAGAATACGATTGGTACAATGGATCCTGTAGGTTCAACTTGCCTAATCCCAAGAATTAGAGATATGACTTAAATTACTATTTCAATATCCAGTCATACTCATGACCAAAGTATTATGGTCCCATAGAGTCGATTCAGTCTTCTTCCAAATTGTTTGCTCGAAATTCTCCTACACTATGAGTCTTATGTGCTAGGACTACCATAAACGCATTGGTGTCTTCTGTCAAACAATCATACAGATATGCAACTGCCTCCAAAACTCATCCCAGAATGCTAATGAAAAATTTTCTTTGCGCTTTATGAGCATATTGTTTTCGAGGTCGTTTTCATCTTTTATTTTGTTACATAGTACTTCCATTTATCCCATAATGTTCTTTAAAATAAACCCATCAAGAGCGATTATATTAAGAGTTATCCGTAATGCTTTGGCTTCTGGTCCATAAATCAAGGCACTGAGTGATTAATCTCCTCGGTCAAATATCCAATGACTTGGCTAGACCTTCTTCCATTGCTAAGATGCAAAAAAATGGTGGTGAGTCATCCGCCGAGACAATTCTGATTGGACAAATGGTTCCTGGCGTTCATCAATAGAAGTCCAAAGATGATCAAAAATACAAATTTACCCCTAAAATTGGTCTTCGGAAACACCCACCAAGCTTTTCCCTTTTCCTTAAAAAAGTACTTGTTTGCTCGAGCGACCGTTTCAAACGTTCTCTCGCGACATTAGAGAGCAGAACCAAAAGAGAACTTCAATATTAAATTCACAGAAAAAGCATAAATGACAAGAGACAGCAATCCTCGAGCATCAAAAGCTTTACCAATAGCAATGCAATTCACAAGAAAGATACAACAGGGGTCCTTATCCACAGACAAAGCCAAGAAACGGAAAGGCAGGGATTTAGGTTAGACCTGCGTGACTTCGGCGGAGGTGACCCAAATGACGACCACCGCCAGGATGAGAAACAAACCGGCCTTGTACCTCCAGCTCGCCATGGCCTCCTCTTCCACCGACTTATTCGATGCAAGAAAATAAGCTCGCCAAACTCCACCAAGGGACGGATCTCGAATCCACAAGCCGGCGTCAAGATCTCACCGGCTGCCGCCGTTTACTCCACCGCTTTTCACCCTGGTGGAGATCCCGATATCCGAGCCACCCCCACCCCATCTGGATCTTGGGAGGCAGAGGAGGAAGAATAACTCTCGCCTCTTCCCTTCTTTTCTCCTTTCCGCTCCTCCTCGCTTCTGTCGGCAACGAAGAGAGAATGAAAGCGCATTTACCAGCTTTAGTAACGCTGGCGCGATGTCATCGGTTTCAGACACCGAAGCGGCAATCTTAGCGACTCCGTTTGCTCCCGCGGCCTCCTGCGAACGCATGAGATTTCGCCACGTCAGCGTTCCCCCAACTTGAAGTGCTCCCAAAGTTGCGTGACGACGAGGACCTCCCACCTCGATATTCGTGCAGGCAATTTCCACCGCGAATTGACGGAATCCTCGTTTCATCAAGATTCGCGACGAATTCCTTGTGGTTTCGAGGGAAAGCGTCAACGCGAACTCGGGTCCGATCGCACGAACGGATCGAATCAAGTCATGTCGGTCGGAAACGGGCTCGAGATCCGATCCGATTACGCATCCAACCAATTTATTGCGTCATATTCTCGATAGAAACTCCATTTAATGTCTTTTAATTGTATTTATTTTTCGGAAAATTATATAAGCAATCCTCACATCGCCAATGAATGCTTAGTTGTTGTGTCACTTTCTTTGTTAGGTGGAGAAGCATTGGTGAATCAACGGAGAATGCGCAATGGGTTCGTTCGAGTACCATTACCTATGTAACTCATTTAAATTGGATCGGATGTCTATTAATTAGGTCTTAAATGATTATAGACGAAAAATCATTTCAATCGAGTTTTAATCGATTTAAATAATCAATTAGTCTGATTGAGCTTTCTATATATTATACGTAGTGAGTTGAATTTTCAAGTATTTATGCTTATACATGCAATTTAAGTTAGGTCGATAACGTAGTGACTGTCAAGAATAAATAAATAAATATAAATCGATGATCCAAAAATAACATTTTGATATATATGAAATGATTGAGTCATCGAGGTCGGATGAGGTCAATCAAAAATTTCGAATAAGTAATAATGAATTTAGGAGTGTTTTTTATGGTGAGATTGACTAACAAAAAAAATTCTATAACATAAGTGAAATATTGTTGGATTCAGCTCGTATCTGAGCCGGGACAGGAAAATAGATAAATTGTAACGTGTAAGGAAATAGGAGAGAGAAATAGAGAGAGAAAGATTAGGTTTTTGAATTTTCTGCTTGACGATCTGTGGCCAAACGCTGTCAGTTTTGGCCCAAATTTTATGTGAAAAATCTTTACAGCAAATTCTACAATCCTAACAGTGTTGATCTGCAGTTTACCCTCTCTAAGATACTTTCGTGTGATATTCACTCTATGAGACCTATAATTCTTTTTCAGAGATCCATCGTGATGATATGCTAGAGCCAATATCTATATTCTTGATGTTATACTGATCCTCTAGTTATTCTTGAGAAGACCTACTGTAAACATGTTATTGTTATTATTGATAGTGGAAGTTTGAGGTGGACTACGGTCCCGTGATTTTTCTCATATTGGGTTTTCCACGTTAAAAGATTTGGTCTCACTGTATTATTGATTTTTGTTCTATTATTTATGCTGGTTGATTTTTACATTTGGATATCAAGTTGGTATTTTGATGAGGAACCCATTTTGATACAGGGAAAAGAATATTTCATTTTAACATATTTTTTCCAACATTTTTATGGTGGGATTGACTAACAAAAATATTCTATAACATAAGTGAAATATTCTCTTAGGATTCTTTATTATGAACTAACTTATCTGGCTGCATTACTAAGCTAAAATTTTAGATTGGAACATAGTAATATCATAACATCCCTACCTCTAAATATGATTATACTAAAAAAATTGAACTAACTCAAATTAAATTTTATTACATCAAATGATGCTAACAAATTCTATGTTAGTTTGTATTGACCAAATCAAGCACACAACATTACCCATTGACTAAGTTAAGTTATAGTGAACTAAGTTTGTACAAAGAATAGCATAGGAGGTTGGCATGCGAGGTCGCAGGAGCCTGCGGTGTGCTCCGTTGGATCAGCCATCGTGCGGTTGGTGGGCGATGACGAGGTGGCCATAATCTTCATCGCTTCCATCGGTGCTATGTATCGGTGGGAACTTTCTAGAACTCTATCCTAACATCTGGTGGCCCCAATTCGCATGATAAATGTCCTAAGAACATTTCGAAGATAGATATGCGCTTCATGAAATAAAATTAATTATTTGATAGATAGATAGATCCAATTTGATCATATCAACTGGCTTAGAAAATAAATATGTTAATTGTGATGATGTAAAACGATAATATGGGCATAAGATGCAAAATAAGAATTTAAATTCATATACTTGAATCCATGAATCATAGAGCTCTCATGACAGAATGATGTGACCGCAATTGCTTGCAATGGGAATGTGGACCAGCAAAGTTGGATGGGGTTTCACAACACTTGCTAGCTTAGGGAGAGTGACACATGAATAATGGAATTGGTATGGTTGGTGATGGAGAATTTAGGATCATTCATTCCACCAAACTGTTAGGGAACATTTAATTGTGTTGGGTAAGGATCACGAGCATTAAACAAAAGTTTAGTTCGGTTAAGATGATTTTTTGGTTATTAGAGTCGAAAGTTATTCGAATCCTACAAAATTACGTCGGAGGTAATTTCGACAATACTCATTCAATACATACGTTAAGTGACCAATCAAATAAGTTAGACTAATGTGTTCAATGTCTTCGGACGTAACTATTACGTCTGTTTATTATGCAACTCACACGATAATGAGGATGTGAGATTTGACAGTAACTATTATCAGCTCAAGTCAAACTCGATATTACATAACTCTTCTTCATGTGGCATTCATTTGGTGAATAGTTCTATCGTATCGATTATGTGGGGTTGATCGATTGGCCAAATGAGTTTGATATGTTTTTCACGTGTGAACAACATGTCAGCAAAATAACTGTTATAAAAAATCTATTACAAATGACAGTTTTTTTACCAACAAAGTTATGAATTTAAAATAATTATAACTATAAAGTTCATAACTGTATTTTCTTAAAATAATTATAATCAAAACTTTTTATTATCCAACAACTATAAATATAATTATTTTTAGTAGTATTTTAACTATAATAATTAATGAATGCTATCGCAAGTAATGGCATATTGCGGTTATACAATCATTTATATAAATATATTTAAATATTTATTCAAAAGTTATTTGAAATGTGAAATTATAACAGTGTTAATAATACTAGTGAAAGTATTGGCATATAACAAACAATCGACCATAACTATAACCTTAAGTATAAATCTTTTTTACTAACTATTATTTTTGATTATTTTATTCTAATGACCTTAAAAAACATCATTAGAAATATAGATTTACATAGAAACAAAAAACCCATTGATTTAAGCTTCCTCCTCCATGAATTTTTCCGTTATTTTCCTTAATATATTATACGCCTCTCGAAGATATTAGTATATGTGTATGTAAACCTAAAAAATTCATATAAGCGTACATCTACCATGACAATGCATTTCCTTGTGCTACCTCTCAATTTACAGATATGCCCATGGCTATACACCACGTTTTGAGATCACACTGAATTACGATAATGCCATCCCCGCAAGGGTGGATTGGTCATTTCACATTTCTTTTTTGGTGCTAATTATTGATTATTATTGGGGGTTACGATTTATTTGGTCGAGCACATATGGGTGGACACACTCAAGTAAAAATGGAAGATTTCCTATATAAATTAGGGCAGGGTTCAGGGTTTCGAGATCGATACACAAACTATTATGAGTGGGACCCAGTTAAGACAGTGATGATGGAAAAGACGAAGTGACAGGAAAAACTGTATGCGGATTGATTCTAACAGGCAATCCGAGACCTTTCTTAACCGGGATGGCCGCTCCCATCGTACCTGAAATCTTTGAATTGCCATTTCCCGGGTATAATTTAGGGTTCCAAGCCCCTCTTCTACTTCCGAGAAGGAGAAAGAGGTTTCCGATCGCCCAATCCAGCTTCCTTTTCTCGATCGTCTTCCTTTCTTTTAGTGATGGATCCTTTGTTTCATAGATCGAACGTTTTCTCGCTTTCAGATCGCATTACCCGGTAATTTTCTGAACTCCATTCGACTTTATCGCTTGGAGTCTGTTCTTATCCTGTTCCGCTCATCTTCGTTTCGTAACTCGATGAGGGTTCTCTTGAATTCCGGGGTCTGGTATCAAGAACGAGCTCTGATGGTGGGTTTTGGATTTGATGTTTTGGTTCCTTCCTCTTTGTTGGTCCAATGATCGATCTCATTGTTCTTGTTCTGTTTTTGGGTGCTCTGAATCGAATACGATGGTTGTTCTCGATGGATTCAGAATGTGTGTGTCCGATCATCCGTTTCTGTGGATTGCAATGTGTTCGTTATTTGTTTGTCGTTCATCTGGTTCTCCGTGTTCCGACGAGTTATCTACTTAATAACTAGGTCTGGAATTCATCTCTGTCTTGCTTCACGATATTGCCATGTTGGTTTTGCACAGATTAGTAGTTATTTAAGCTTCATCATACATCTAGTTGTCATTGTGCAACATCATTCATGATAAATCTGAGTTCTGCTACTTGGCTTGTGACATGTTATCATGCTTTTCTTTGCTGCTTATAATTCCAACTTCTTAATTGTCCTCATGATATTTGTATGTCTTGATGGACTTTGAAAGGAGGAAAATAACTAGGATTTTGTTGTGCATGAATTGGTTATATTTCATCTAAATGGACGAAACCCTTTCTTGTTTTCATATTTGGTGGTGCCTGAAGATTACCAATATGGGACCTTTGAAAACTTCAGTGTCATTACTCTGATCATTTGATGTTCATATTTTTTTATGGCTACCTAAGATTTCTACTTGAGAAAGTCTAACCATAAGCAGTCATATGTGATGATGGATATTTAAGATCTTTTTTTTTTCCTCTCTCCCTTTAGTCATGGATAGTGTTTGTTTTACTAGAGAAGGTGTCAACTACCTAATCAGTAAAGACTTTGACATTATATCGCAATGGACTCGAAGCCCACCTTGGTCACTACCCTTTGCAAGATAAAAAAGGTATTTGTTTTACTGTAAGTGCTGTGAGAAGGTTGCTTAATTCTGTTTGGGCCATTTTGTCTTGATATCAAAACCATTCGAATATTATCACATCCATTTCTTGCCTTGAGCAGCCAAATAACATGGGGCTAAGTATCTTTTTTAGGTGATCTTTTCAATAGACTTTTGTTATGAACTTGAAGTTTATGGCTGTTAGATGGATTATTGGTTATACTGGCTTGCACATATTTCTGAAAATATAGTTTTATAAGGGGATATCTATGAGCAAGAAACATAACCAGTGAACTTATGCATTCCTCCAATGGCCTTCTATATCTTGTTTGATTGGTTCTAATTTGATGTTTACCCTTCAGAAAGGGTAAACTCATCCAAAATTTGTTGCCTTTTTCTTTTCCATTTGAGGAATTTTAAGAAAAAAATATTGGTTATATTATCCCATATATATTTGTTATACATAAAACAATCAACAAGGAGTACATCAGTCTGATAGCAACAACATGACTAAAGAGAACAAATTAGTAGATTTTTCAATTGTATTTTGGCCATCGGAGAATGCAACAAAGGCCAAGTAGTCGGGATAGAGGGTTTGGAACTCAACAAGGAGAAGAACCATCCATCTTATTTTCCTACCCTAATTCCCATGCGGTAGCTTAGATCGTAGGTCATCATTTAGATGTCACCTTGAGTTATTTATTTTCACATTTCTTGTTAAATGTCTTACCGTCACTTGAAAATTAGCATTTCAAAATTTCTAAATTCTTATAGGATATATACAAGCATTTCACAACAATGGAAAGATAAGCTACTTAAAATTAATCAAATCATGGAAGCGATTCACAAATAGTACTTCAGTATTATCATATTAAGTGAATGTGTTTGTACATGGTGGTTGAGGTTAGTGTAGCCAATACATTTTGAAGATTATTTATTGTACTATGGTTTTGCAAGATTTGCTAGCTACAGAGATGCATAGTTATATTAGGAAGTGGTCAACTGACCCAGTCTTCCTTTTTATCTGTTTCTTACCTCCAAACCTTTGAAGAGCTTCCTTTACATATCCTCCACTTCACCAGGATCAAGATTCCTAAATCTGACCTGAGCACAACAAATTTGTTCAGATACTGGATGCCTGGCTCCTTTCAACTTCATTATTATTCACTACTAGATATGTGGATACATCTTCAACTGAAAATCCAAAGTGCTCATTCCATATTAGGGTTCAAATCATGGTTCAGACAAAATCATAATATTTTTACAACAAGATGCAGTAAGACAGTATTATTTTGCTAATCTTCTGCAACAACTACAAGCATTCATGTTCCAACTATTCTAGGTGAATAATATGAATCTTTTCCCAAGATTTAGTTATTTATAATCGAATATTTTTTATTAATTTTTCTTAGCTCAGCTCTATCTTTTTATCTTCTTGCATTACTAATTTTTACTGGTCCATCTTGTTTGGCTAGGACAACCATAAACCGTTTTTGAATATGTTCACATCATTTTAGATTTTTTTTTCATGTTTTCCTTTATTGGAGTTGTAAGAAATTCTTTGTGAATGAAAATATTTTTATTTCATTTTTTTAGTGACCTTACACGTCCACCTCAATATTTTTTCTTTGTCAAGACCAACTTCTATACATATTTTCATAGATTGACTGATTGTGAAACAAGCCTTAAGCACTGTTCTATGACATGAAACCGGCTGCTTTTACCCATTCACTTGATCTAGGCACCATGTATGATAAATCTGTTACCAAGAGAAGCAGCATCTAACTTATTTCATATTTTCATTTGCTCCGAATGAATTTCTAATTTTACATATTCGTTTTCACATTTAACTCGATTGAATGCCCTTGGACCAGACATAAATTGATATTAAATAGATTCCAAAAGTCCATATTCGACTATTTGCAACAAAGCAATTTTATGGTCACAGCTACATCTTGTACTCATATGGCTACAGTGAGTAGAATGTATAGTGTTTCGAACAACTTAATCTCTCTATTGAATGAAGTTGAACTTTGATGAAAGTGATTTTCAAGATGGCTTGTAATCAACTAAACGAGAAGCATAGGGAATATAGTTGATTCTCAATGCACACAAAATTTTTTTGGGTACTTAGTGTAGAACCAAAAAACAAATAGAATAACTTCAGACTAAATCTTAGGGGAATGTCATCTAAAACTGTCATAATATTAAACACTATGTCTAAATTTAAGTCGACATATAAGACTTTACCTAGTCTTATATGCAAGAAATGGTCAACATTTTTTGGGATGGGAATAATCAGGGCCTTGCACAAGCTTCGAAGTAAAAAAAATCTAAATTAAGTCAAAGTAGACAGCCAGGTTTTTTGTTTGAGGATCTCTTCATCTTAAGATAGAATAGTTTTTAAGTTTTGTCATGTTCATGACACTAATCCCAAAATGTTTAATCTCAAGTCTGCATTATAGACTACCTTGTCTTTTACACAGGCAATGATCATCATTTTTTGGGATGGCATTGTTCAGGCACTCGCATCAGCTCGAAAGTCCAAATCTAAATAAGTCAACTACACCCCCCTCCTCTCTCTCTCTCTCTCTCTCTCCATTTCTTGCATATTTGTGAGTTGCTACTACACATGCGGAAGAAACTGTACGCATTAGTACATAGGTCAATATTAATGTGTACTTATATTCAGTAAGTCAATACCACAGCTAGTTATATGTCTTCTTTTTATTTGTAGATCTGGTCTGGATGATGTAAGATGGATCAAGCTTATCTTCAATTTTTTCCCTCCCATTGTACTTCAATCTAGGTTTTTGGAGATTTTTGATCGAATATTTATTCTCCAAGGGGTCTATATTATCATAGAGAACCGTTTGGCACACTAGAGCTTTCTCATGAGATGTACACAACAATTTATTGAGGAACACTTATTATGTTTCTGACTCACCAACACAGTTATTAGATCAAGTGGTCCCAACATGAGGGGTTAGGCCGTAAAACCTAGTGTTGGCCATCATACAAAAGTATTCACATCTCTAGCTCTCACAGAATACTTTCCTATCACAATATATTTCTGTTGGGTCACGTCTCTAGCTCTCACTGAAAGTTACAATGATGCATTAGGACACAGTAGCAGTTTATCAGAGGTGTAAAATGGTGCACATGCAGGTGACAAAGATCTAAAACCTGGCAAGTCTATCGTCAAAGATCATACAACTCCAACCATAAGCACCCTGGAATCTTGGTGGGCAGTGCAAACTTTAATGAACAGGTACAACTCCTTGAGTTCATATAACCTGTGGGTCTCATGTCGGGTTAAAAAGCTAAAAAACTCCACATATCATGTCTTTATCTAAGAGTCCGTCTCTCCCTTGTTCAGATTCCCATTGCAAGATACTCTTCAAAATAAAGTTGTCCGTCCATTCATCTTTTTTTCTTTAGTGTTGTTGTTACTGTCGAGTCGTCAGCATCACCAATGTGTGCGCCTTCCACTTCTCACGAATATTTTAATTTGAGTCATAAGTAAACATCTCTATCCAAAAGCAAAATTATATACACTAATTTGCGAATACTAAAGCGATGTATCTTTATGTGTCATATTCATCTAGTGATAGTGATAGTGATGTATCAACGACCATTGGTTCATGATATCATTTAAAAAAATTACGCTATAAATAAATCATTATTGAATAATTTTTTTTTTTGGTATAAACTGATTTTTTTATTTCGAGTCTATTTGTCTCTCTAGTAACTATTTTTAGATAGATTTATAGTATTTTAATGGAGTTATTAAAAATTTTATAATCATACTAAAAAAATTATAATTTAACAATATAAATCTTATACATGGGTGATTAGATCGATGGTGTAACTTGATACTTGCTCCAAGGATTATAATAAATACAAGATGCTCTTTGAGAAATATGAAAAATATGTACTTTTAGAATAAAAAAATAAAAAAATTCATGTTTAGTGTTTCACGTTATCGGTGCATAAATTTTTCATCAAAAAAATGAACAATTTTGAAACGGTAGGAACACTCCAACCAACGGTAGCTTCATAAACTTTCTTTGCTATAGTTTCTGTGGTTGGTTCTCATCAAAGAGACCCTTTCTCTTCTCCCCCTAAACTTCACAATCAACTTGTGTTATTTATTATTCTTTAATTGCAGTTCATTATTACTGTCATAACGGTAGGGATCTTTATCACAGAAAGCTCCATCAGCTTATGTAACCTGTTGTGCCTATTTTACTGATTGAACCTTCATTAATGGATTGAGCGGGCAGCTTTTTTGGGTCTGCGCTGCCGCCTCTTGTGGGGACGTTCGTTAAGTGGTACGCTCCGATACCAGCTCTCTTTTTTTATGATAATAAAGGTCAATAAATATATATCTCCAAACATATCCATTTCCATAGTCTTTCAACTGCCCTTCAATAGTGTCTCTCCACTAAGGGCGAGACTGTGAGGGAAAGGTTGTCTGTAATTTTAAATAAATATTTTTACACATCTATCCTTGCTATGTTTCGAAAAATTTAGTTACCTCAATAAACCTTAATATAATCGATGGTTGATGATATTGGTGGATCAATGGGCCGAATTATATTTCTTTTAAAAATATTTACAAGTACTTATAAGGACTGATCCAATTTTGGAGGTATATGCAATTTTGCCCGGAGATAAAAGTAACGAACTCCTCCCTTCGCCACCCGCTGTCACTTTCGAGGCACCGAGTGACCCTCAACCACCTCCCTCTGTAACTTCCCATGCTTTCATCGCCTGATCCAGTCAACCGATCCCTCTCCTATAAACCCACGTCGGAGACCAAAGTTGACGGCAAGAGAAAAAGGAGATCTCACACTCCGTTACTGGCGACGCTCGAGCAGGCGGTCTCGATGGGGAGCGAAGAGCTCGACGACGTCGAGACCCCACTCCTCCACTCCGCCTCCGACTCCCATCTCGAAGACCACTTCCTCCGCATTCGCCGCTCCGCACCCGTCACCACCTCCCAGCTCGCCATCATCGGCTCCAGCCTCTGCCCCATCGAAAGCCTCGACTACGAGTACTCGCCGCCTCCCTTCCTCTCTCCCGATCTTGATTTATCTGGGATGATCGGAAGAGCCACATGAAGTTCTGTCGAGGATTCCTTTCCGGTCGTTTGCTTGCTTGTTGGAGTTTCGATCTGTGACGAAATGGGATGTGAGATTGCAGGTTGATCGAGAATGATTTCTTCAAGCAGGACTGGCGCAGCCGGGGGGAGGCCCACATCGTCCGGTACGTCATCCTCAAGTGGACTCTCTGCTTCCTGGTCGGCGCCGTTGCCGGCGCCGTCGGGTTTTTCAACAACCTCGCCATTGAGAACATCGCCGGCGTCAAGTTCGTCGTCACCTCCAACATGATGCTGGCTGGGAAGTACGATCGGATCTGATGAATTCTGATCCGTCTCCTGTTCTCTTTGGTTGATCCTTTTTCTTTATTTTCGAGCGGAGTAGGTACAAGTGGGCCTTCCTGGTGTTTGCGAGCACGAATTTTGTGCTTCTCATGTTTGCTTCGGTCATCACCACTTACATTTCGCCGGCGGCGGCTGGATCGGGGATACCCGAAGTGATGGCTTACCTAAATGGTGTTGATGCTCCGGATATCTTCTCGTTGAAGACCTTCTTCGTCAAGGTGAGGCTACTGTAACTCTTTACATGCTTTCATCTGTGTTCCACCAAAAGTTGGCGTCATCTCTTTGTGGAAGGCATTATTGCTTTATTCAACTGAATTAGACAGGTCAATTACTTGGTAGATCGCATTGAAGACTGACAGGAGAATTATAGTCAGCTTGTTAATTGACAAAACCTGGATATTAATGCTTCTCAGGCCAAACTTCTTTGCATTGTCATGAATTCATGTTTATGTGATCCTTCACTTGGAATAACAAGTAATGTGCCTTGGAGTCGATAATGCCTGCTTGAATGATATATTCTGGGGAGGCATTTTCCATGACTTATAGAAAGGGGGCGAGTGTTGCACACTCATCATATCGGAGGCATCTTCAAAGTTATTAACATGATGGAAGTGAGTAACGTAGATGTTTAATGGAATCAACAGGTGGTAGGTTGCATCGCTGCCGTCTCCTCATCTCTCCATGTGGGCAAAGCCGGTCCCATGATCCATACAAGCGCTTGCATTGCATCCATACTGGGGCAGGGTGGGTCTCGGAAGTACAGGTTAACCTGTAAATGGTTGAGGTACTTCAAGAACGACAGAGACCGACGGGACCTCGTCACCTGTGGAGCTGGTGCCGGAGTTGCTGCTGCTTTTCGTGCACCGGTTGGTGGTGTTCTGTTTGCCTTGGAATGTGTATCATCATGGTATTGTGCAAGTTGATATCTATCTCATGCCACCATCGGTTTATAATGTTCTTTCTCTTCAATTTGTTCCGATAACTTGCAGATAGGAAATCTTTTAATAGGTTCTTCACTAAAATATCAGTTTTTATCAGATAGTAAGATATTATTGCTCTTAAGGTTATCAAGATGATGCACATAAATTGAGTTAAGGTTTGCAAAATGTGATGCTTAGTGTTTCATTTTCTGGAACTTATAGCCTTATATTTCAACATGGTGCCTTAGGGACCATAGATTCTCTACTTGTTGCAATGCACTAATTATATTGAACAGAGTGGTTGAATCAGAGTTCACACTATTCTGCATAACATATTGGAATAAATATGTATTGAATCTTATGCATGACTGTCTTCTAGGGCACATTTAGTTACTGCTGAGGACAGACAAAAAGTTTGGGCACATTTGCTGAGAACTGCCTACACCAGAGAATAATCTCTAAGAGGAAATGGCTTTTGTTTTGTCTTTTTCCAAAGCTATTTAATGTCCTCAGTTCATGTCCTGATAGTTGTTTCCTTGACTTTGAAGGTGGCGAAGTGCACTACTTTGGAGAGCATTCTTCACAACAGCAGTTGTCGTGGTCGTTCTGAGGGCACTAATTGATGTTTGCAATAGCGGCAAATGTGGATTATTCGGAAAGGGTGGTCTTATAATGTTCGATGTCACTTCTGCCGACGTCACTTATCACCTAGACGACTTACCTCCGGTAATCGTTCTAGGCATCATTGGAGGAATCTTGGGAAGTTCCTACAACTTTCTGCTTGATAAGGTTCTTAGGATTTACAATCTGATCAACGAGTAAGGACTACTTGCTTCCTACTTCCATTTGCTTATTTCCTTGCTAAATAAACTATGACTATTGAGGACATAAAGTTCACTTTAGCTGGGTCTCATTAAACCCCACAAATTCTTCATATAGAAAAGTAGAAAACCAATGTCTTTCAGGTTTCATGATGCATTTGCATTGTGATTATTTAGAATCATTCAAATGTGAAGTCCATCATTTCTTTATCTAGTTCTGCAGAGGTTGCAATATTTCCCTTCAATGTTGCTTTTGAGAATTGACATTTAAATTTTCATTTTTCAGGAAAGGCCATGTCTGCAAATTGTTTCTTACTGCTTCAGTTTCCATATTCACATCTTGTTGCCTATTTGGAATGCCTTGGCTTGCATCTTGTAAACCTTGCCCAGCTGAATCATCAGAAGCTTGTCCCTCGATAGGCAGATCTGGAAATTTCAAAAATTTTCAGTGTCCTCCTGATCAGTACAATGACTTAGCCAGCTTATTTTTTAACACTAATGATGACACGATCAGAAACCTCTACAGTGCTGGCACAGATAATGTGTTCCAGAAAACTTCGATCATTTTATTCCTTATCACCTCTTACTTTCTTGGTATCATCAGCTACGGTCTAGCAGTTCCTTCAGGCCTTTTTGTGCCGGTTATTTTGACCGGTGCAACTTATGGCCGCCTTGTTGGAATGCTGATGGGTTCACATTCAACTCTCAACCATGGTCTTTTTGCAGTCCTTGGTTCTGCTTCCCTTTTAGGTGGATCAATGAGAATGACTGTTTCTGTCTGTGTAGTAATGCTTGAATTGACCAACAATCTGCTACTGCTCCCTCTGGTTATGCTGGTGTTGCTCATATCGAAGTCTGTGGCTGATGCTTTCAACGCCAACGTGTATGACCTGCTTGTGCAATTGAAGGGGCTGCCTTATCTTAAAGCCCACGCTGAGCCTTACATGAGACAGCTCACAGTTGCCGATGTGGTTAGAGGTCCTTTGCAGATATTCAATGGTGTGGAGAAAGTTAGCAACATAGTCCATGTGCTGAAGACGACCGGCCACCATGGTTTCCCTGTGGTAGATGAGCCTCCGTTTTCCAATTCACCAGTGCTTTTCGGTCTGATTCTTCGTGCAAATCTGCTTGTTTTGTTGAAGAAGAAAGAGTTTCTTCGTACCTGCACGCTTGCAAGCCTTGATGCTTCAAGGCATTTCTCAGCTGATGATTTCGCTAAGTGTGGCTCCGGCAAGCATGAAAACGTCGAAGGAATTGAGCTGACTGCCGAAGAGATGGATATGTATATCGATTTGCATCCATTTACCAACACCTCACCTTACACGGTCGTTGAGACGATGTCATTGGCGAAAGCAGGTATTCTTTTCCGAGAAGTTGGCTTGAGGCACCTCTTGATTGTTCCAAAGTCCTCTTCAGTATGTTTCTTGCCCCACTTTAGTATCTGTGCCATTATATTTTTTTATATATTACCGAAACCTAATTTCTCTGATGGTACTGAATTTTTCTTTTTATCAAACTATGTTTTCATTTAGTCAGTTGCTGATTTTGCAATCTTATTAGTGCTTGTCTTGCTCTCTGACATTGTGTTTTTTTTTTTTTTCCTTTTTTTGGCTACTGCAGACAACACCTGTGGTGGGCATATTGACAAGGCATGATTTTATGCCTGAGCTCATACTTGGGTTGCATCCTGTTCTGTTGCAAAGCAGATGGAAGAAAACAAGGGTCGGGAAATCAAATTTGATCCAACTATTTTATGATCTTTGTCGATTCCAGAAATAACGACAGTTGAATCTATCGAATCAAAGCAAAAAAAAATGGCTCACTGCCATCGAGATTATTTCTGGGGATTGGATGAAACAATCAAGTTTTGGTTCTACTTTGGGGGCGGTAAGATTGTTTATTCTCTTTGCATCGATAAGTTTGAGTTTCTCGTTCTCTTTAGAATCTCAATGAACATTCTTTTCTCAAATGTAATATGCTTTCTTCTCTCAATCTAGTTTCAGTTTTTATCCAATCAATAGGAAGCTCAATTCCCATGAGCCAAGCATTTCTTAGTGTATTTAATCATCATCGATATGTAATCATTATATTGTCATAATTCGTGCAAAGTGATCTGAATGTTGATTCTGTACCCTAGCATTTGTTTTGGGACGTCCATTATTCTATTTTTTTTTTAATTTTGAGGTGAAACATATCAATTTCTGATATTTATTTATAGCCATTGGTGTATTAGAAACAGCAATGATACCTTCCTTAATGACGACCCACATGAATGAGTACTGATACTAGAAAAAACATTTGTTGAACTTAGGATGCCTTATTCAGCATGTGGACATGGCATTGACCTCGTATGAAGCGTTTAATTGATTGGATGTATACACTTAAGTTTGGACAATATCATGTGTAGTGTGGGACTAATTACATGTCACTATGGATATCTGATTAGACCTTTTTAACGTTTCGACTCTTATACTTAAAAAATTTATATCATAATATCTATAATTATAAAAGTAAAATATTTAATTCTATTTACCTTAGCGTCATTAGTTCTGTCGATAGAAAATATAACACATAACAACATATACTGACATAAAAAATGATGGGCAAAAAAATTGTTTTAACATTTCAGTTACATTTTCTTTCTTCTTAGTTGATTATTGTGGTTGTGACAGACGACGATACCGCGGTAAACTACAGGTAGTTGTGGTTGTTGTAGTTATGGTTGGTGAGAATGATGTAGTTATCAGCGAGAACAATACGGGGATGTCACTAAAGACGAATTGAGTGGAGTTCTAGAGGTGGAGTTAAGGGGCTTCTATGGCTTCTTGTAGGGGGAGGAGAACGGAGAGTGGGGACGAGAGGTGTGACAAAAAGAGAGGAGGTAGAGGATGACACAAATGTCAACGCTATGCATATGCATCGGCGTCGCTCAACATATGCGTCGACACTGCTTGGAATATATGTCAGCACCGCTCGACATCTGCGTCGACACCGATGCAGATGCAGAGCGATAAAAGGGCTGCTCGACATCTGCATTAGCACCAATGCAAATGTAGACACAGTGCATTTCTTAACATTTACATTGGCGTCGACGCAGATGCAGAGCAACGAAAGGGAAAGAAGGATGAAGGTTCGGGGAAGGAGAGAAGGGAGAGGAAGAAAAGGAGGGAGAACGACGATGAGAGGTTAAGCAAAGAGAGATTAGGAAGCGGATGAGTAGATGTCGATGCAATATATCTGCGTCGACGTCACTCGATATATGTGTAAGTGCCGACACAATGCAGAGCAGCGAAAGGGGGAAGAAGGATAAGTATTGCCCTACATCTGCATCGATGCAGATGCAGAGCATCAACATTTGTTGTCCTTTTCCTCTTCTCCTTTTGCATCACCTCTCATCGTCACTCTTCTACCTCTTCCTCCTCCCCCCCGCAAGAAGTCGTAGAAGTCCCTTAACTCCACTTTCATAACTCCACTTGGTTCGTCTCTAAAAGCATTCCCACATCGTTCTTGTCGACTTCTAAGTCGTTCTCGTCAACCACAACCACAACAACCACCCATGACCCCTAACGACGTCATCATCCACCACCACCACAATAGTCGACAAGAAAAAAAAAAACATAATTTGAAATTATCTTTTTACGTATCATGTTGTTCGTGCTGTCACTTGTTGTATCTTTTCATCGATAAAACCAACAACGTTAGGATAAATGGAGTTAAATATTTTATTTTCATAACTATAGAAATTTTAATATTTTTTTTAAATCATAGAAATTCTAATATAAATTTTTTTAAATCTAAAAATTGGAATGCTGAAGATGTCTAATTATACAAGTTGTGCTATCCAATTCTTCCATTTCTTTGGTATCGTGTGCATGTGTGACTTGATTGTAGGTTTGATTCAAGTATTATATTAAACTTACTTTAGGAAGTCACTGACAGAAGAAAAAAAAATCTGATTATGTACCAAAATTACAAATTACTTTAAAAAGTTCAAAAACAAAGTGTCGTCTATCTTATGTACCACCTAACCATGGTGATTAATCCTCTACCGATCAATATAATGAAAGCAAAAGTTTAATTATCACTAATATACTTATATTCCTGCTAAATTAATATTTACTTCTCTCTCTGAAAGTAAGAATAGAAAACGAGAATTTGCATTACAAGGAGTCTTTTAAATGTTTATAAACTTTAATATTTTTACATTCAATGGTAATTTTGTTAAACTTAATTTGTTAGACAAATGCTGATGACAGCTGCAACGATAACGAATAATTTAAATATTTAAAGAAATATATCTACATATATATCGCATTAAATTTTCGATGGAAAATAAACTATTTCTATATAAAGAACATATATTTAGAACTCGATTCGAAGGGCCTAAAGAAACAATTTTAATGAACTTTGCTCCCTAAAATCCCAAATCCTACTTAAGTTTTCTTATCTTTCTTATTTTGAAGTGCTCATATAAGTCATTCTAAAATTGGCTCAATAACTTACAGAAAAACTCTATTTTCGATTGCTTCACAGATTTCGGATTGATCACACCCAAAGAAAGAAAAAAAAAACCTGGATCAGTTATAAACTTAAAAAATCACCCAATTCGACCCTTTTTTGGTTGCCATTATTCCCTGTAGCAATTAAAACCTTCAATAGTAGCATATTTTACAACACTACAATAGAATCATTTTTTTTTCCAAGATGATACATCCATTGATCATTGGGTGTTTACTTCACTTACTCTGTAATTAGTTTATGACCTATGGCATAAAACCACCACCTACTTTTTTTAGGAACACCAAGAAAGAACATGCAGCTATTTAAAAGGAAAAAAAACCATTACAATATGGTTCAGAAAGAACACCAAAAATGTTTAGATGGAAAATTTGAAGGGGACCTTTTTTTACTTTTTTTCATGTAATATAGATGAGTTAGAAGCTCGCAATACGATCCAAAATGCCTAAAGTGAGAAAACAAATTCTAGCAAACATGAGTCTTACTATGTGATTTCAGAGTAATAGATTTGTACCTTGGCCAAGGGAGAAGGTTAGCTGCCAATATACCATCTCTCTGTTTAGGAAGACATTCTTTGGCCGCTGGGTTGCCCTGCTCACTTCTCTGCCTCTACAGATAACAAAGAGAAATAGATTTTATTCTTGCTATTATTGTGTTGTAATTCTGATGGACTGAGCAATTACCAAACCTCACAGCATTCCGATCTGTATCCATGAATCTGATGTTGTCTCTCAAAGTATTCATTATATATTGTACAATATCGACATAAACAAAGTTCACTGTACCGTACCGACGTTTCGACCCGGGCTCGGTATGGTACGGTAACGGTGTACCGGGCGATACATCAGGGCATACCGAACAGTATACCCTGGTGTACCAAATAATTTTATACTTTTTCATACTGTAGCATTGTAGCGGTACCGGACGATTCGCGTACCGGTAACCTGTCGGACCGATACGTACCGCCCGATACGGGCGGTACGCTTCGGTATGACAGACCTTGGACATAAATAACATGACCAACTTCTTACTTAACCGACAATTTTGATGTAATCCACTTAGAGGCCAAGTGAAAGCTTATAAAATGGAAATTTTAATTTTCAAATGCCATTCCAAACAGTTTTGCATGTTATAAAATATTTACAGAATTTCAAACATAAGTAAACATTTCACATTAATATACATCACTGTCCGAATATCTATTTTTGTATGCATGATAATGACCATGTCATTTCATGCATACATACATATAAAGACAATAAATTGACTAACACATTGATTGGAGCAATAAAATGAACCTCCCTTAGGATACTACCCAACTCATTCCAACACTCAGATGTTGTGTGCTAGGTTTTATCTTCAAAGCAGGGCTGATAGCTAGCAAGCTGACGAAGCAATCCACAGGTACTCGCATACCCCAAACATTGATTGATTCAAGTTTACGACACTTATTTACGAGCATAATGAGGCCACTCTGTGTCACATGTCGACAGCTCCATAGGATAATGGTCTATTACAAAAATTCCAAACATCAGCATATGCATCAGGAAACTGGCATCGACAATACGAAATTGCTTTGATAATAACCACATCATGCCTCCAGAATTTAGAATTATCCAAAGTACATGGCAACTCCATAAAAGTGTTAATTGGTCGAGTACTAACAGCAATACTTCAGCTTCTACTTATTACAAATTCACTCCTTATATATGTTTAGCATAGAAGATATATCAGCAGAATTGCTACAGCTATCTCAAATCAAATTTTCCTTGTGATGTTACCTCAAATTAAATGCTGCTGACAATTTTGTATTTACATAGTTTTTCTCTTGATGATTGAGTTTTATGAAGTGCAATTAGCACCAAAGATATTATATAAACATGACATTAAATCGAATTTTGAATTATCCAAAGGACATGGCAATTTCACAAGGGTTAATTGGTCGAGTAATAACAACAACATTTGCTCACAATGTATGTTTAGCATAGAAGATATTACTAGAGTCAAATCAAACTTTCCTTGTGATGTTACCTCGAATTAAATGATATTGCCAATTGTTGTATTAATGTAATTTTTCTCTTGATGATTGAGTTTTATGAAGTGCAGTTAGCACCAAAGGTATAATATAAATGTGACATCAATTAGCAGATTAACACTAACTTCAAAGCTGTTTTTTTTTTTTCTTATTGACCTAATTATACTGTGGCCCTTATTGGGCTTATTATAAATTAGATTCCTTCCTATAAGGTCCTTGAAGACCTCACCCCTCTGTCTTTTTTATTTTGTACTTATTTTATTTTCCATTTTAGTTTTCTATCTCCATTTGTTTTTCTATCTACTTAAGGAAAAAGAGACAAATGGGGTTTCTACGTACTTCTACTCAAAAGCTGGAAAAAATACGTTAAAGTTTGTATACCACTTAAAATTTAACGTATGATAGTTTACATCCCTACATAGCTATCGACATTGATCCTCCTATAAAATTTACAGTTCTCTATTTATGAAACAGTGCACAAGCAAACTTGTATCTCATTCAACAATCAAGATTGATCAAGTTAGCATGGTAGTCACACATCAAGACAAACTAAAATTGCACAGCTTGTTTGAAGTTGACAAACTCTTGAACTACTCAAGTATAATAACCAATATCCATGGTCCAGACATGTCAAAAATGCAAACAACATTGACAAATCTTAACTTTTTATTAAGAGGAAAGGCATCCCAAAATCAACTTATAAAGGACTCAATGAAATATTAATTAGGATAAAGTAGCAGAAGAGCAAAGGAGAATAATCATTTTACAGCAACAACTATCACAAGTGAAACTAGCTGCAATCAATTTTATATGAGATGAAGTGGATCCCAAGACCAGAAATTATAGGTCTTTCACTTATCATATACAATCTATGTTCCAAAAGTCAGAACTAAGGAAATCATTAAACATAAAATGCAAAATTGCTTGCAGGTTTTGTATTTAAGAAAGTACCTTGATTTGTGGACAACTACTTGCAATTGCATATAAAGAGTCATCCGTAATGAATGTGCCACCAACATTCAGGTGTTGCAAGGAATTAGCTCTGGTCACCTGAACAACATCAAACCCAATAAGACAACCAGTACAAATTAATACAAATTACAGTAATGATAGTCACATAGAGGCCAAACATACACTCAGGAAAAAGCAACATGCTGTTGATGCATGAGATGATTTATAAGAACGATTGAATTACTGATTTGAAACTGCAAAAGTTCTTTAACACAAGTATCCTTTTATCTCTTTTGACACAAAGAGATAGACAAGTCAACTAGGGAACAACTATCCTTTTAACTGGTCATGTATTCAGCATTACTTTCGTAAGTAAGATCTTTTTACTCTTTTCCCATCAAACCAGATCATTCTCTAGATTGGTTCAGTAAATGAAGGACCAAACCCATGGACTACGCCTACAGCTTCTTGTAGGTTTAGTAGTGCCTTCGAGAGGAAAATCAATCCATGTAAAGAAACTAGTAATTTAATCTTATACTAGATTCTTTCTGAGTTGCAAAGAACTTTCGACAGTTCCTCCATTGTCTATGCTTAAACCGCAACCAACAAGGCAACACTTCTAACACCATCTGTCCTTTAGGTTGCGGGGTTGTTCTTTCAGTTGTCTAAAATTTTCCTGTTTAAGTATTTGGAATTACAGGATGGATATCAGTTTACTAATCAATCACAAAGTTTTGTCAATATTTCATGTTGGCTTCAGAATTTGAGTTGTGTGCCATGGAAAGCATCATAATTCATATCAATAAGAAAATGATTTGATAATGACAAAGGTAAGTGCACTCAACTTCAGGGTATACAGAAGAGAAGAGTAAAATAAATAAATAACAAAAAGAAAAGAGCAATAATATGGCAACGTAAAATTCACCAGAGTATTTATTTGGCCAAATAATTCTCTAGACCATATTATTGACAAACCTAGCCAAAGTATTTTTAAGACAAAATAACAACAATCTAACATAAAATTGCCCCAGTGGTACTATTTGACTTAAACTAGGCCACTTTATCAAATTAAAAATCATAAATAAACATGATTGAAAATCCCTACTTTTGAATGAACCAAGCAATTTAAAACATTTACATTTTTCCAAACAACATTAAAGACATGAGTTTAGCCATGGTATAACCACTAAATTGTTCCATTTCCTTCCAATGAGCAAGTTGGAAAAGTACTTACCAGCTGAATTACTCCTTTATCAGTGATTCCGGCCATGCCCCATAATGATATAGACAATAGATTGCCAACACATTTTGTTAGTGAAATCTTGTACAGTCCTCCATCAGTTATTTGACAGCCCCAGCAACTCCTAGAACTATAAAAAAATGAAGTAGACTTTAGATAAACAACAAGTCGTAAGAAAACATAGAAATAATTGATAGCAGACTGACAATTTTTTAAGATTTAATACATGTTTCATCAAATTCAATAACGTCAAAGTTTGATTAAGTCAATGACAGTATAAGCAACATTACAAGATACACAAACAGAATAACGGAGAAAGAATACCATTGCTATGTCATGTAAATATACGCGCTAAACAACAATCACAGAACATAACTATCCAATTGCACTTAACAATAAGAATGAATTTACTAACAGTATGAACTACAAAGCTAGTTGAAAGCAGTTCATGAAAGAGTATAAAAGCCAAGAAACAAAAAATCACATCCAAAAATCTCAAAACACTATGTATATTTCAAGCCGATGCTCTCTCAATGTCCAACAAGGAATAAGTTCATGGTTGATGACAACCCAAATAGCTACTCGATTTCTTTAATTTCATTATTTCACACACACACACACACACACAAATATATATATATATATATATATATATATATATATATATATATATATATATATATATATATATATATATATATATATATATATATAT